GAAGAAGAAGAAACCGAAAAACCATCTAATCGGAGGAGCCCCTGTTCAAAACAAAACATATTTAAAATTAATATTTTTCAAGTTCCAATATTTTACTTTATATCAATTTCAAATTGCGTCGCTATAGTAGTTTTCCTGCCGTTATATTAAACAAATCACTTATTCCATGTGGAGATTCAGTGAGAAAACAAAGAAAAGAATAAACAATACTAATGAATTTTGGGTAGTAAAAACATTTTTTTAGCGGAAATCCACTTTGCAGACAAACAGACTGTAGGATATGTGAAATGTCTCTTAAGCCCCGTCAGCTCAGTACTAAGTAATTTGTCAGAGTTGTGACATGTGTTCCTGACAGAAACGTGGACTTCAACGATAGGGGTAACCAAGTTTATTATTATTATTATTTTGGGGAGGCAAAAACACTGGAAACCGAAGCTCAGGAAAAGTGTACATCATTCAGTCCGCCAAGCTCGATCAATTACAAGAGAATTTTAAAAATTTTAAGCAGGGATTCTCATTAACCTGTGATGATAATCTCTATAGATATTTTATATCGGTGATGACACGTCTAAATTCTTGCACGTTTGCGGTCGTATTAAGTTTCTTGTGATTGCTTTTTGATGCTTCGCGATAAACCATCACAGAAAGCCATTACGGGTTGTTTTTCACCCGTTTAACGGACCGGTTTACTGGAGGGACGATGTTCAAGACAAGGTTCGTCTTGATTTAAGTCCGATTCTTCGTCAGACGTACACTGATCACTTCATATCTTTAATTACTGCGTTATAGATACCGGAAGATTTAGCAGGAGTATGAAATGACAGACTGAAATCGTCGACATCTTTTGGGATTCTCTTTGCAACTGAGGAAATGTTTACTCGGTAGCTGAATCAGCTGCTCTAGTTTGGATACATCATCCAATTGCACTGCATTCGAGAGGACACAGGGGTATATCAACGCGACTTCAAAGCTGGCATAAAACGGAACGCTAAGAGCACGGGACGCTAGGAAACTCCTTGGCTTTAAGTTACACTTTGATACTGGATGTAAATTCATACTCGATATTTCACTGATTTCCTTATCTTTGTCGCGTTCTACAACATTACAGGTAGACCACGGCACCTGTACCATGTTGACTAACATTTAAAACTGTCACTGCTTTTCGCGAAAATAGGATAATTTGCACCGGAAATATTTATAGGAAAAAAGGAAGTACTTCATTTTGCAAAGAATGTCGACTTTGACTTGGGGAATCTCGCGCAAAGGAGAACTGACTCTTTTCAATAGGGATCCTCCATCTTGTTTCTCGAATAGAGTGGCTAGAGTGAGACGCTCAAATACCTTGGAGGACAGGCGACTGCAGGACAAGTTACGCACTATACACCTGGAACACTCAATCAGAAATGGTCAGATCCACAATGAGAAGAAAACATTGGTGAGGCAGTTGAACGGAATTCATTCAGTGAAAGAAACTCCCGAGATAGGAGTAGAAAGACGCAAACTACAGCAAGCAAAAGCTTCAGTTAAGAAGGGCAACGCACTACATGGGATCAATACAACACCTCCATACTCACAAGCTCTTCTTCAGCCTCAGGGTAAGTCATCGTCCAGTGTCACGCACCATGTAACGACAGGTTCTGTCACGCAATACCCAAGTGCTGACTGTCGTAGTAGTTACACGGGTTATAGACTAAGAAAATCACCAACCATATCAAGAAGCGCTGACTGGCTACTACCACGATCGCCAACATATCCCTTATTTACCATGGGCAATGAATGGAGAGAAGCTTTAGGTATTTCGTCGAGTAGTGAAGTATACAACTTGGACACTTCAAGCACCATCAATGCTAATGAGAGACAAAACATGTTTCCACCTATAGACAGCACATACCGTAAATCTTCTTTCTAGTGGTTCAGTTTCTCCTCGATTAAGCACCGTCCCCTAACAAGTCATATCCCATCACTGAGTTAAAGTGCCCCACCTCCCCATTATTCAATAAAATTACCGTATTTCTTTGAATAATAGCTGGGGGCAATTATTCGAGGGAAGACGATTATTTCAAATCCTGCCTACTGGAAGTTGTGCCCTAAATATTTTGTTTTGTTATCCCATTAACTCAAAAAATAAACACTTTAAATATACTGGACATGGGCTTTATAAGTGTTTCAACTTTGGTTCCTTGGTTAATTTTCAACATCAACACAGTATCCTCAACGTCAGAGATTGAATCGTCACCGATCAGTCTTGCTGCATCAGACTCCCTTCAGCTTAGATCCAAGGTGTCAATTTTTAAGAAGAAGAGGAAGAAGCACTTTATTTGAGTGTCAATGTATTTAGCACGAAAGTGCTAATTGGGGACACTATATTTTTACGTCTCCTAATGGAGATGGGACCGCCATTTTATGTGGTCATCCGAGCCACGCGAAGGTCCAGCCGCCTTCAGGGCAAAGGGAGTACCTTCATTTCTCAGTTATTTTAAGACCCTGAGTATTGGTCCGGCCCCGGGAATCGAACCCGCGACCTCCCGCTCTGCAGTCAAGCGCTCTACCGACTGAGCTAATCCTGCCGCGGTGCAACTCGACAGGGAGGGAATAAAAGAAAGAGAAAATGCCGAGAGGGGATGGGGGGTGATTATTCAAAGGAGGTGATTATTTGAAATATTTCTGTTAAAGGGGGGCGACTATTTGACGGAGACGATTAATTGAGGGAAGGCTATTATTCAAGGAAATACGGTATTTCAGTTTGACAACAGAATATATGGCATGAATAATCAGATGAGGTGTGCTGCTTTTACATATAGAACTGTACAAACAGAAACAGGTCATACACAATTATAGGTCATTGTAAATGTTTATACAAATATTATTTTTAAATAATACATAAATAAATGGCCAGTTGGCAACAACTAGTGTCTGTTTGAATAGGTACCTCTCACTTTGAATAAAAAAATTCCCCACATGGGCTGGTGCAAGGAAACACAGTTAACTCAAAATCAGCTGTCCTAGCTCTCATAGCATATTCTTTTTTTAGCAATTCCATTCTTTTGTTTTTTGACAGAGGAACAGAGTTGTTACCCTTTGTACAGAGGTTTCTTTCTGGCATGGCTTTCAGCATTTACGAAGTCGTTCAAATGGCATGTCAGTCGTGCAGTTGGTTTGTTTATGTCTGAGGCATAAACAAGCCAACTACATGACTGGTCAGAAAGAAACCTCTGCTTCCAGGGTACAGAATTGTCAGAGAATCCATCTCCGGAAATACCAACATTGTTTTGAATTACTTTAAGACAGAATCAATCAGGAAATTGAGTAATTTCAATTTTCAGTGGACAAAAACCTTGTACCAGAATAATTTAAACGATATCACATTGTTTTTTACATTTTTTCAAGGGCTATAGAAATAAATAGTTATCTGTAATAACACCAAAGACTATTTCTCACGGGAGCCCGAGAAACTAAATGTCACATTTCACAAGAACTGTGAAAACATAGGTAAAATTCTGAAAATTTCATAGGTAAGATTTTGTGAAATTTGACATTTATTTTCTTGGGCTCTAATAAGAAATTTTCTTTGGTGTTATTACAGAGAACTGATTAGATCTATAACCCTTGAAAAATGTAAAATGCGATATTGTTTAAATTATTCTGGTACAACGTTTTTGTCCACTGAAAATTGAAATTACCCAATTTCCTGATGGATTTTGTCTTAAATATCTAACTTTTCACATGTAGGGGCTACTTTACCATATTGATATAAATAACAGCACAGAAACAAAAATAAATGCAACCTCTACTGTGCTGTTGTTTTGTTTAGGATTCTTTTCATGCACTGTCTCACCTATCTACTGAGCTATATAACAAGCTGGAATATACCAACCTATATTATTACAAGGAAATAAGCTCCCCAGGGCTCAAAGTTTAAATTTGAGATTGGGAGCACTTGTGCTACCAGATGTAAATTTTTAGGCGCACTGCAGAAATTTTAGGCGCACAGCTGAAAATTTTAGGAGCACAGCTTATCATGTTGGAAGCATCTATTTCAAAAGAAAAAGTAAAAAGCTTAACAGTGCCACGTGTATTTGTCATCTTCAGTTTGTTACTTTTACTTCAGTCCGGTGATTGATAAAACACAGCCGATTTGCTACGCAGTAATACCGTTGTGATTTTTAATACTAATTAGTCAGTACAGTGCTGACTAAAGAAAACTTACACTTGAAAAATAATTCAAAACTGACAACAATGAGTGTGTCGAACGAGAATGAAAATTAATCCTATATTAATGAATTTGTTAAATGCGCGATGACTTACACATAACTGGAATACGACTTAAAAAACTTTCTTACCTGGAAAAAAAGGCTCTTAATCCGCACTGTTTTTGTTTTGATTGAAGTTAAGCTTAACGTTAGACATGATCGTTCATTGTGCAAAAAGTACGTGTTTCGTTCGTAGCATATATTTGCACATGTCAGCGGTGTTTATCACAAAAAGAAGAGTCTGGGATGGAGTAAAACATCGAAACGAAAAAGAACATTTGAGTTCGTAGAATCCATTGGGAGAAAAGACCAATTAAACATACGCCGCCATTCTAGTTCGAGTTCGTAAGTATAGTCGCAAGTAAGTCAGTCGCACTGTCCTTTGGGTTTTACGGCGCACAGGTGCGATTACACATGAATTTTTAGGTGCACAACCAAAAATCCAGTCGCATATGCAACCAAATAGTCGCTAACTTTGAACCCTGCTCCCTCAAGCAAAATGTCTAAAAAAACGACATTTTGCACATTACAAAAAACTACACACCAACTACAGAAGTCTCAAACTCTTGTCTTAAACAAAGACATCAAATAGTTTTATTTCTATCACTTTTTAAGAAATTCTCTTTTTTAAAATACAAGTCCACGGAGAAACTTTGTCAATCTGATCAAGACTGCTCTCCTTGAGTTGTTACAATAGGGTAAAAAATTCATCATGGACGGCTTCTGTTAGCAGCAGCAAAGTTTTTACTGTCATACATAAATTCCAACCCAAAGTAACAGGAAAAGCCCTCCAAATCCCATGAAAAGAGAAGCAACTAAAGATACAAGCAGTTCTTTGTAGATGTCTCTGTTGTACTTTGTGGAGGTGACCTCATAGCTTTGGTAAATGTCAAGGAAGTTATTACATCATGCATGCACCATCCCAATTTCAATTTACATTAATTTTCTGGGAAACTGCCCACCAACCCCTCCCCTAAGCTAATATTAACACTTACTTCTTACTTAGGGCAAAATGTTGGTTTAGGGGAGGGGTAGGTGGCAGCAACCTAAATTGATCTGCAAAAACAACAACAACAATAATAATAATAATAATAATAAATTATAGAAAGTAGTTGGCAGAGATTGGCACACATGTTGTTTAGAATTGCGTGGTTCCAGAAAATATCCATAACCCTCCCACGGAAGACTCTTTGATTTGCACCCCCCCCTCCCCCTAGGAATTTCCAGAATTTTTAAAAGGGAACTTGTTTCTGTCAAAGTGGTTTGGGTACTTTAAAAAAACAGAATGTGGATACTAACTCAATTACGAAAATATGGTTGAATTTTATTACAACAATGTAAACTTTTGTGAATGTTATTATTCACCTAAACTTTTAGCTACTTGTACTTCACCATCAAATTTTCAAATTCTGCCTGTCTAGTTTTCATGTAAGCTTATAAGCTTAAACATTTGGGTTGTAAAGTTTAAAACATTGATTGCTCTACGTTTTTGTGCTTACTCCGACGCGAACATTATGAAGAGAACTTTACTTTCACTGCCTAAACAACTTGGAAAATGATAGCAAAAAAACCCCAGAAACTTACAAGGTTCCTTTCTGGCTGTTTATTTGTCTACACATTTAGTCAGTTTCTTCAGGTTGAATCTTATTTAAGGACCAAAACCTTCACTAACACATGCCAACGTGCTAGTTTTCGTGAACATCGTCATGATCAGGCTGCAGAAATTTTACTTGCTAGGTAGCGGGGCCTTCTGAAGATCGAGCAAGAAATGAGAACGAAAGTACTCTTGTCTCATCGCATTTTTTTTATGAGTTACTACCACGAATAACCACCGATAAAAAAAGAAACGTATCAAACATGCGTTTCCTGCATGTGAAGGTAGCGAAAAGTGATGCTCAGTGAACAGAACTGAAAGCACTAAAATGTTGGTCGGATGAAAACGAGACGAAGCTGGAAGTCTGGGGACAAGACTCTGACTCCAGTCATGTCTGCCATTTTAAATTGTTTCGACTTTGTTCCAAAGACACATCGTTCTTCTGGAGATTGTAGCGCTAGCTAACTCAAAGAAAAGCAGAAACATTACCACCGTTTTCCTTGATACGTGACTTTTCAAATCGAAACACCCGCTGAAACGCTTCCAAAATTTCCGTCAATCATACACATCATACAACATATGGAAGTGTTACCGGTATTGTACGTGCTTCATAGTCTGCCGTGCTTCAATGACATGAGAAACTGTTTTTCTTCTTTTTCAAATATGAGACATGCAATATGCACCTTTCTTCGTGTAAAGCCCATTTTCTTCAATAGCTTAGCGATCGTGGACACGGGAATTGTCTTTCCCAGTGCGAACTGTATCCATTCCTGTATTTCATCCTCGTAAATCTCTGGATATTGCTGGATTACCCTTCTTATGAATAACACGTCCTGTGCTAAGTCCAGGTGAGAAAAACAATGGTTATGTATTCGTTTGATACAATTAGGCCCATTTAGAGAAGTGATTACAAAAACCTCAGTTCAAATCGTAAGCTTACTTACCTTCCGACTTTCTCACTCTACCCGGCCGTGATTGATAATGAACTGTTTTTGTGTTCTGGTAAAGATTTCAAATCTTTTTTACAAACGTCTTCCCTACGTGAAGTAGTCTAGCAACACGTTCGACAGTAAATCCCTGAACGAGTAAATACACTACTCGCCAACGCAAATTTAACGAATAACTTGCCACCATGTTTACATGTAACTTCGACCGGCCGCCACATTTTAAATTTTCAGGCCCAGTCCAACACTTCCATATATGGTATGACGAGTATGATTGACGGAAATTTTGGAAACGTTTCAGCGGGTGTTTTGATTTGGAAAGTCGCGTATCAAGGAAAACGGTGGTAAAGCTAATGATGTTAACCTCATCTCAATGGCCAGGAGTAGTGATTTTGGTTTCAAAACAACGTACGTATGTTTTGTGCTTACGATCGATTGTACGTTACTTTCAGTGTTTTGTTCGTGGTTCGTCAACCTCTGGAAAGTTGTTTCCCATGAACCCCCCTACCCCTTGGAAATAGCTGCCTTTGAACCCCCCCTCCCCCTCGGAATTTCCAATGATCTTCCGTGGAGGGAGGGGGGGTATGGATATTTTCTGGAACCACACATTATTACAGAGAGCATGCTTACTGGGAAATGCCACACTCCTTCACAAAGTCTTAACCCCTTAGGTCCCAAGAGTGACCAACATCAATTTTCTCCTGACAACATCAGGCCCTGGTTGTTCAAACGATGGATAACGCTATCCATTGAATAAGTATTAGGGAAACCAATTGTGCTATCCAGTGGATAGTGATTTATCCAGTGGATTGCGCTATCCACCTTTTGGGCAACTGGCGCCTGCAGATCATCAAGAGGAAATGTTATGAGAGTTACTCAGTTGATTACCAAAGGAAGAATGCTTTGATCTTAAACCAAATTCTGTTCTTGAAAGAAATGCATGGAGATAAGACTGAAGAAATTGTATGTGGATCTTAAGGCTTAAAAGGCTAGGACAGCCGAGGTCTCAGGCAGTGACCTGATAAAAAGAAGACGCCAACAAACTGTTGAGAAGCTGTGTTGCATACCTGCCAAGTGTCATGCCTATAGCATGACTGTCACACATGAAGATCGAAAACTTCAATCTCAAGCCTACTCACGACTGTATTCCAATAATTTTCTTGCGCCTGGTAGAAATGTTTGAGTCATTACAGTATTAGCTGACACATTTTGAAAAACATGCTAATTATTTAAAGAAACTGGAACCAGTAAAGAAAAGTCCATGTGAATGATCAACTTTCTCCAGATTCTCTTATTTTAGTAGGGAAAGTCACTGTTTCTTCATGTTCCCATTTTTGTGTTAGGCGGAACTCTTCGGAACGTTTTTCAGACATCTTCAGATATTATCTGACTCCTATAAAAAATCCTGGCACTCCCAGGATAAAAAGATCTAAAAATGTCACCCCTATAAATTTGAAAAAGTTGCCAGGTATAGTATTGAATGAAGATTATTATTATTATCATTATTACTATTATTATTTTTATTATATTATTATCATCATCATTATCATGAAATCACAGATCCTCTAGACAACTAAATTCGCATCAACCCCATTTACCCCATAAACTGAAAATAACTGGAAGTAAAGTGTAATAATTCTTGTTTAAGATTGCGTGACACCATGAACTCTCAACAATCAGAGTTGAACACAAAATATATTCCTTAACGGTAAAAAACTTAAATGCGACTCATTCTGTTAAGAAATTTAGGGCTTGGCTTAAATGCAGAATACCTAGGATTATTTTCTGTCAAAAGAGTTAGAATCTTGAAAATCCACTGGCTAAAAACTGCAAACGGGCAGCAACCACATAAAAACTAAACGGTTCATGCTGATCAAAGCTTTTCTTCGTGACAGGTATAAATCAAAGGATACACAAAGAACCAAGCCATAAAGAATATTCCGATAGAAAGTAACACGATCGTCAGATGAGGAAACACGGCTGGATTGATTGGACTAGCATATCGGTTCATCTGCTCTATCGTTAGTGCCTCCTGAAAAGAGAAAAATACATCTTTTATAACAAGAAATAACCCTAGGAATTAATACAAAGTGTGAATGAACAACTAAGTTATTCTTTTACGCCATTTTCAAAAGAAAAAACCCAAAGATGGCTCAGATATTTTACAGATTCTGCAGATGAAGAACTTACCATCTTGGAACAACACAAAGAGAAGACGTGGAAGAGTAAAACTGGGTAAAACCGCTGCTTTGTTTACAGCGAATCGTTTTTCGGAAATTGTCGGAAAGATTTCCGGAGAATTTTCGGAAATCGTCGTTCGACAAGCTAAGGGAAGTCTGGGAACTAATCACTTTCGAAGGCGCCATGTTTGTTTAGAAGCTAGCCATGAGTTCGAAGAAGAAGAAAAGTGATGGACGATCTGGGGAGTTAGAGAAAGCGGAAGAAGTGTTTCAAGCTGTTATACTTACAGATAGTTTCAACTTCAGATTCTTACCGATAACTCTTGAGACACCAAGGGTAAGTGAACTCCAAATCACATGTTCCTCCCAGCTAATTTTTTTTGTGTGTTTTTTTTTTGTTTCAAAATTAAGTTTTCTTTTCCCGTTGCGGGCCCCTTGTTATGAAGATGTACGATAAAACATTCATTTTTTTCTATTCTGATCTGTGAGCTGCGGAAGATCTAAGCAGGTTCCTATTTTCATTGATCTAAATTGGAAGTAAGCCTGCTTTTGTTTGTGGGAATAGGCCACTTGCACTAAGAGGTCACGTGACCAGTGCTTCGTTTAAACAATGAGTTGGAATCTTGCTGATGCCAAAAATTGACAGAGCACATAAAAGTTATCTTACACCCGAAATTTGAGCGGAAATGCATTTAAGGGAGATATTTTATGGGACAAAGTAGTATGATTTGTATTGGCCGCCGTGTTGGAGGGCATCAGGGTTCGCAAATATGCCAAATTTGGCGTATTTTACACCAAAATTGTTCAGATGACTCCATTGAGGTTACGGAGGGAGTCACTTCGACTCCAGAAATTTTTGGTAACAAACACAGTTTTGTCCTTACCTTTTTCGCAACAAATACAATTTACGTTAAGTGTAAACATTGTAAACCTTAATTAACTCATCGAAATTAAAGAGTTATACTGCACGACAAAACAGGAAGAGGGTAAATTACGATCAAAGTTTACTCGATGACCGCCATCATGGATTTGAGCTTTCCACGTCAGCAGACCGCCACAGCTAATTCTTGTATCCCTCACGATAGTGTATATGTTGTGGTTCAATTTTATCCCTGGTTTAAATTTTATTTCCCTTTGTTTGGGGTATGGTAATGTATGATAATGAGTTTAAAACGAAGGGAAATAAAATTTAAACTAAGGATAAAATTGAACCACAACATATACATGCCGGGACCATGTGCTGGAAAGTCTGATACAGTCATGCTTGACTCCAAATATTCCATGACTCCAAAATTTGTGAAGCAGAAGTCACACTGACTCCACTCATCTATAAAATTTGCAAACCCTGGAGGGTATACTTTTGACCTCCAACATGGTGGCCAAAACTACTTTATCCTGATATCTTGTTAAATGTTTGATAGTTACGCTCAGATGTGCTGTAAACGTTACCACATCATATTTTCAACATTTTCCGAAGTTTAAGTGCAAAATTTGTGTTCAGAAAGAGGTAATTTATAATTTTAAAAATCACATTTTGGTCACATGACCTGTTATGAACTTACTCATTTTAAGAAAATGGTGCGGGATTGAAAAACCAAATCACTATTAGTTTGTTTAAGATGTGACCCACTAATCATTTTTCGAAGGCAAAAATCATTTAACTTTCATTTTCATAAAAATGATGTCACATGACCTCTTAATGAAAATGGCCTGTTAGGGTATCGTTTGGGTCTTTGATCTATTGTTTAGTTAGCTAATTGTACAACATGTTGTGTTCTCCTGGGTGGAGTATGGGTAAGTTTTTCAAATTTCAGCTCAAGAACTGTCATGTAAGACTAAGTCTCTTCAATTTTAAATGAAAAAAAAGGAAGTCAAGAAATATGTCAAGTAGGATCAAACCCAGCACTCTGGGTCCACAATCCATCGCCCTATCCACTAGACCACCGAGGAATTGCTGCCCAAAAGAGTTTTAATTTAGATATTCATAGTGACAACCCTAACAATAAATGAAAGCTAACCAAATCCGAGTCAATACTTAACCCTAATCAGTGCTTAGCCCCAATCACTATTTACAGTGCTTAACCCTTATCACTACAGTCATTGCTTAATAGAAGCAATTATTTTGTATAGGTGTCATAAGGTGTCCAACCCCATACTCCGCCAGGGAGTTAATTTTTTCCTTCTGAGAGATTCTGGTGCCCTTATTCGGCCCTAGGAGGAGGGGGCAGGGGGGGGTGGGGAACTTGGCCTATATTTGGATCTGCTGCTGGACAGTGTGTGAGTTTTTCCTAAACAGAGTATAAAATTTCATGCCAGTCTGTCTGTCAAGTCTTATAAACAGGGTATTGCCTGCATGATTGATTTGATTCGCGTGATGAAATTTGTTTGTACTGCAAGTATACAGAAGCAATGACTGTAACATGGATTTGTTCTATTGCAATAATTTCCAGTTAGTGGCTTTAAAAACAGAATGAAAAAACAGGAAAAAATTTATATAAACATTAAATTTATGCAGGCACTCCACTCAAATAATTTAAAACACATTTGTAAAGAATCCAAACAGAACTTAAGAGGGTTAAAAGATGGCAACTGGTTGAAGGCAAGATTGAGAAAAGGCTACTACTCATGGTCAGAGTTGGAAATTGAACCCAAGATTTTTGGATTGCCAGTCCAATGTACTGGTCATTTTTTGGCCTTGTTTTTTCTGAAGTAATGTTATTCTATTTGTTGTCAAGTGTGGCTGTGGATTGCAATTCTGATCATGATTATAAGGATAGCTCTTGAACTATTTGTCTATTATGCTTATAGGCTTTGCTACCATTGGTAAATGTTCCTCTCCTGGATTACACTATTGAATTTCTTGTTGAAGCTGGAGTCCAGGAAATTTTTGTCTTCTGCTGTAGACATGTTGATCAAATCAAGAAACATTTAAGGTGCGTGACAATTGAGTGGTGATGGTGATGGCTCGAAGATATTAAAATATAGTTTATTGATTGATTGATTGATTGAACAATAGAAAGAGTCTGAGGAAAATGGCTTTAAAACCTTTTAAAAGTGACTCTTCATTTAAAGTGTTCTCCTTATCAGGCAGTAACTGGTAAAATTTACGGCTTGAAGCAACACTTCTTGCCTCCTGTAACCACTTGAAGTGTTGCTAAAATTACATAAGTTGTTTACAAAATATGCAAGTTGTGATCCAAGCCAATCCCTCACAAGGAAAGAAATAGGGAATAAACAAGAGGTATACACAGCTTTTGTCTATGAGTACTTTATTTAAAATGCTGACTGGTACCTTTCAAAGCATTGCAGGCGAACAATTTTTTTGTGGGCTTCTGTCACAATTCTAGACTTTCTCAACCAGCAGGAAAAGTTTGTGACTTCTGCAACTTGTGTTACTGAATTGACCCTACTGGTGAAGGCAGCCTTCATTCATAAAATTCTTTGTTTTGAGGTGATTAAAATATTTTTTGGTCAGATCAATAATGGTTGACAGGATGCTAAAAAATAAAAGCCTTCGTGAATGCTAAAGTTAAGATATTCAAGACTGTGAATGAGTGTAGACAGATTTGCAAAGATCAGAAACAGACAGACTGCTGATTTCAAAACAATTCTTCATGTAGACCACCCTAAAGGTATCACTGCATGAAAATTACTGCTTTTATACAGTACATTGTATAAATTGTAACTCTTTAAAAGTAAATTTTAAAATTGTTATAAGTTTTTAACCTCTGATCTGAAGGCAGATAGCTTACCATGCTGATTTGCCTAAAAAAGGTCTCATGAAAAAGGAGTGACATTGAACTTAGCTCCTGAAATTTTTCTCTTGGGGGTGGGACCATAACACTTCCCCCCCAACTGTCAATTAGCATTTGCATTTCTTATTGTCCAGATTGTGTGTGTTCATGTTATAATTTCTATTCCAACAACAATGATTTGTTTTTGCTTGCCTTTTCTGGCAGTCAATCAAAGTGGACAAGCTCAAGAAGTCCATGTGATGTGAAAACCATTGTTTTTGAAGATTGCTTGTCTCTAGGCGATGCTCTTCGAGAAATTGACAGACAGGTACAAAAGCATTATTGTTACATGCAATCATTTGTTTGTGAGCAATTGAACTTGATGACTGAATAATTTATCAACATTTTTAAGCTTTTTTTAAATTAAAATTACCTATTTGTAATTCTTTTTTTTTTTGCAGTCTTTTCTCAAGAATGATTTTGTTTTAGTAAGTGGTGACATAGTGTCAAATATGAAATTAGATCAAGTTCTGAAGGAACACAAGTAAGTTTTGTACAGTGAATCCCTTGGTAAATGTACCCCAATGTTATGTATCCCCATTAAATGAATAACTTTTCCAGCCCCCTTACACTGTTGTTAGCATAATATTGGTGCCTTGTCATATGATAACAACATACATGTTTAGTAACGTACATTTTGGTAGTAACAAATAATTATTTTTAGCATTATTTTAGGTTAACACTCAAATGGTATAAATTATTGTTACCAAGTTTATAATGGCATGAGACCCAGTTTTTCTCTTCTTACTCTTTGTGAGCTGTCAGTTAGTGAGGTTGTTGGCCAATGAGAATGTGATATTTGCCATTGCTGTCTAGTAGCACCACCATGCAGTGCTTTCAATAAGCACCAATGGTGGATGAAAAACATTGGCCTCTTCACTCCTCAGAGAAGTCACCTATGTACCTTCTTTCCTTGTGGTCACTCACTCCACTTGTACAGTGTATTTTAATAATATTTATTAATAGGCTTTGCTGAGATGCATACCTGCACATGTACATGTTGTTTTTAGTTGAAAATTTATATAAGAACAGTTTTTTACAACTTGCCCATCTCCTCTCCTTCCTAATGTTGTTTATCGCAGTTAACTCACCAAATTTTGTATATCAAGAGGGAGGGTGTGAAGACAGTAAAGAGTCCCCAACAATTTTTACCGAGACTGTACGTTGTAGGTCATCTTTTTTTTTTAACCAGGCAATTTTTTTATTTTCTGTGTTGGAGATCAATATTTGTTTTCAAAGAGATTTTAATATTGCCTATTTATTCTCCTTATCTATCTTCCTTCCTGCCCCAAAGAAGATTCTTATTTTGTTATACAGAGGGTGTGGCTAAGATATAAAGATCCATGATATTGAGCTTCCACTGTATTAAAAGTGTCCTTTTGATTGACAGAGACAGACGGAAAAAGGATAAATCATCACTCATGACGATGGTCTTTAAAGTTGCTAATCCTGGACACAGGACAAGGTGTCTGTTAATTACCTTAACTGAGTCATTAATATTATTATTTTAAGTTATGTTGGAAGGAAATTGCAAAAATGACCATACACCAACCCTGTTACCTTTTTTGTAACCTTTTTTTTCACTTTAATCTTTGTACAATTATCGTAGGTGCCGGGAAGAAGACCTTATAGTTGCTATGGATTCAACAACAGGGAGAATTCTACACTGTGATAAGACAGCTAGCAAAAAGCAATTCTCATTTCCTTTGGTAATGAATTTATATTTTTTAAATTAATCTTCAAATGATTAAAGGGTTATTAACCTTTTAGGTCCCAAGAGTGACCAACAACAACTTTCTCCAAACAATGTAAATTATACATAATAAAGAAAAATAGTTACGAGATTTAATAAAGGGAAAAATTCTTTGATCTTTCATCAAATTCTCTCAGCTAATTGCTTAAGGAAATGAATGGACATCAGTCTGGAGAATTTAAGTGTGGATATTAGGTCTTGAAGGGTTAAATGAAATAGGTCCAGTGTACACTAATCCTTGTCATAAATTAACATCAAATTCTGCCTTTTTTCATAAGCCAGAGCAAGGCTGTTTGGAAGGAAAATGTAGAAGCCAGTAATCACTTATGGCCTTTTCCCAGGATTCCCTCTATTATTTTTTGTATTCTTCTTTTCCTCTTGCAACAACTTAAGTACTAACAATTCATCATTAACCTTCTTAAATGGGACCAGCAGCGTGCAAAGAAAGTCATGTCTGATAGCCCAGGGCTAGTGAATTTAGCTATCGGGCAAGTGAATTCTATTCTTAACCTGCCCAACTGGCAGGTGAGGGTTTTTGTGGAATTCAAATCACTGATGAACTGTTATCAATCCTGCTCATCAAAATAATATATTTTTTAGACTAGTTAAAATGACTCTTGGGCTAGTACATGCTATCTACTGCTTGCTCAAATGGCAAGCTGTAAAACTGACTTTCTTTGCACCCTGTCCAGCGACTAAAGGTAGTCATGATTCTTTTTTTTTTTTAAATTTTTTTTGCAGAGTTTATTCACAGGAAACAATAATATTCAAATAAGATATGATCTCTTGGACTGTAACATTTCTATATGCTCAACAACGGTGAGTTACCTGTTCTTTTTTATTTAATTTTTTTTATTGTAGTGCAGTTGAACCTGAGTCCATGAAGGAAGCATGTACTAACAGGGATGTCACTAAGATTTCAAGTTGCTGGGTAAATACAACAAGTAGGCAGGGAATCAAACAGCTAGGGATTTCTTTTGGTTTTATTTTTCTTCTATTTTCCTTTGTAACTAGCCAGGGGCCACATTCATAATAGCTGGGGGAAATTACCAGCCCCCTGCTCTTGATGACAGCCCTGTACTAAGCAGCCACTTGCTATTGATTGGGCAGTAATTGAAGTAACTATAAAAACCTCTATCACGTGGCCACCTCCATTGAGCAACCCCGCCCACCATTTTTCCTTCCCAATGAGAGTTCTCCTTTTGTTGTCACCTCTATTAAGTGGCCATCAAGGGCGTGATACTCTTAGTTTGGTTTTATTTTTAAAATATAATGAAGGAAAATACAATTCCGAGATACATGTAGTAGGTGACGACCAATTGTGGACCAGTAATGACACTCTTATCACGTGCTTGTTTCAAAATAAGGTGATGTTTGTGCTAAAGGTTATGCTAATTTATGACAAAGCTCTATTGGGCGGCCAATGCAACCTCCATTAAGCAGTCACTTGTTTAGACACCACGTGTGGCTGGTTAATATAATATAGAGGTTCAGCCGCACGCGTAAAAGCTATCTGAATAAAATTATAATTATTTGTTGTTCAAAAAAGTCCATTTTGCTGTTGCTTCTTAGGTTCCACAGTTGTTTACAGATAATTTTGATTACCAAACTAGAGATGACTTTGTCAGAGGAATCCTTGTAAATGAAGAGGTAAGGCTCTTTTTCCTTATTACCGACATTGTTATTATCAGGGGCGTAGCCAGCCTATCAACCTGTAGGCCCTGGCCTTCAAATTTTTGGTTTGATCACTCTACTGCTTGTAATAAATGCATTCTTGGGGTGAGCTAAAAAGGTTAAGAGCTCAAAGTGTTGGCAAGGTTAGTGTGTACTAGTTATGCATGCAATTTTCAGGATGTGTGGAAATGAAAGTCAGCCAGGCCTACAACTAGTTGAAAAGCTGGTTCAAAGCTGATTAATATTATATTATGTTGAAGATGGGCTGTGGGCCCAGATAGTGGGGCACAGAAAATACAAATTTACAGCTGTAGGCTGATTTAACTTTCATTTTAAAGTTTTATGTTGATTTTAAATGCAAGGAATTAATTTTGTTCGGCGCAATTGTGTATTTGTGTTAATATTGGTACATGTATAAAATGTACAGTAAGAGCATTCAAATACTGGTAACACAAGAAAATGTCAAATTCCCTGCTTTCCCTTTCTATTTCCCTGCAAAAATGCTTCAAGAATTACATGTAGTCTCAGCTCTGTGCATTGTTGTTGCTGAGGGATGCTTAGTTGTATATTTTTTAACTCTGCTGATATGTAAACCACACACTTCTCTGATTGCAGTTCTTTTTGTGTGCAATAAAATTTTCGTTTTGTTCATATTTGTCACAATATTTTTCTTGTTTTAGATAATGGGCAATCAGATTCATTCATTTCTTATAAGCAACAAGTATGCTGCTAGAGTTTCAAATCCTTACATGTACGATACTGTCAGGTGAGTGAACTGTCTTTGAATAAAATTGATTCACACATTTTAGTTTCAATACACAGTGTTTTTTCAGCTGTAAAATTTCCATTTCTGCCTTGAATTCCTCTTTACTTGTAATGGGTATGGACTTTGGAAAATATGTCATTGATTTGTGTAACATTCATTAAGAACTGTGCTTGGTTGAGATGGACACCCAAGTTGTCTATTGGCTTCCACTTTTGGCAAAGCCAGCTCTTTGACGGTATGTTACGTGCCATTGTAATAATTGGAATTTGTAATTTGTTTATCCACGGAGCACTTAGGAGTTCTTAAGAACTCGTTGAAACGTGTCCATGCATTCCAGATTGAATTGGAATTTGGAAGTGCTGGTTTTCGAGGAAAGGGAAAAACTGTACTACCCTGAGAAAAACCTCTTGGAGCAAGGAAGAGAACCAACAACAAACTCAACCAACATATGGTGTTGACGCCAGGATTCGAACCTGGGCCACATTGGTGGGAGGCGAGTGCTCTCACCACTGCGCCACCTTTGCTCCCCCATACCTTCCAGTCATGAGCCCCCACGCCAATGGAACCAGGCACCTGTCACACTGATTAACAGTGGAAAAATAAAATGGGGTAGAGGTGGGGGTAAATGCACAATCCAAAGGCTATATGAAGTGAATGAACCACAAAAAATAAATGTTGTGCTATTGTAAACGCACGACCGTGCATGAGCCACTAAACTGACCACTGACCCAGTAGACTACAGGGCTGTCAAAAAGTGTTTAAGTAGCAGGCTGATAATGAATAGTAGGCGGCTTTGGAACTTGCACCAAAGGCGCAAGGTCTTGAGGGCTGAGGTATCTAGGGACATTTTGAAATTTAGAGTCTCGGAAATGCCATTTCCAGGGGTTTTCAAGAGGTATTTTTCACCGCCAACGCCATGTTGTTTCATCAGAATACATGCTAGACCAGGAACAATACTGTTGAGATGTCCCCACTAGAAGCGTTCCACGACGTCGGATGGTTCAAACGTTTCACGGATCTAAACCCGTTTACATATGCGTTCAATGTCATTCAAAACTGGGAAACAGATGCTTTACAAATTTTATTCAATGGTGCTTATTTTTTGTTAGCAGTTATGGTACAAGGAGATGACAGTAACCTGACTAAAGGATGGCTAACTAGCCGGCACTTTTGGCCAGCCACTGGCCCTTATTGACAGCCCTGTCGACTGACAACACTAGGAGACAGCACTCCTTGTTGTTAACTGTGTTAAATTTCATGTATGACATTGTTTACGCGGTAAATTTCAAAATTCTTTATTTGCATCCATTATTTAATTAATTGTATTATTTTATTATTGTATTCTATAACTGCAGCAAAGACATCCTGAGTAGATGGGCGTATCCAATAACTCCTGATAACAGTGTGTTTTTTATGGATTTTTCGTTTTCATTTGCACGGCACAATGTTTACTTGGACAGTGAGTTATCATTAGCTAGGTAAGTGGGATTATTAAAATGTTACATACATTATTCATTCATGTGAGAAAAAGAAGTCATACTGTAAGTCACAGTGAATCTTTGGATTTTTACAATCCTTGTTAATTGTGAAACTGCAGTTGTTACCATACCAGAGGGCAAGTTGAATTAATTTGCACTCAGACAGTCCTCTAAGCTCAACGTTTTTCAAAGTCACCTTTTAGTGACTTAAATTATACTTAAAAATGTTTGCCTGTTATAACATGCCGGTTGCCAGAGGAAAGGACACAGTTACTCAAGCTGCGTTCGTAGCAGATTTACATGTAAAATAAGGGGTATACCCTTACACCCTTGTCACAAATGGCAACAATTCTTTTATTTTTCTAGAGACTGTGTGTTAGAAGAAAATCTATTAATCAGTAAAGGGACTTCAGTGGGAGCTGGAACTGTCATCACAAACTCTGTAATAGGCAGAAATTGTGTAATAGGTAAGATACTGTAATTACTATGGTCACATGTACCGGTAGTCTGAGTGGTATAAACCTTTACTAAATTGACTCAGAAAACTTTACTATTCCTAAGGATCAACATTTTTATTCACCATGGATTGATTATTAGTTTTCCTAACAATAACAACATAAACTCTAGTTTTGTCATTATGTGGTTGTTGTGTTGTTAATTTTAGGTGACTTTGTTCAGCTTGATGGTGTACATCTCTGGGATAATGTGAGAATTGATGATGGGTCCAAAATATCCAAATCAATTGTGTGTACGAATGTTCATATTAAAAGGTACTTTTTATAATTAGCCAGAGAAAACAGCCGACATTTGGCGACACTACCACTGAGTTTCCCCGCCAAATGCCGTCTGAGAAGCGAGTGCAAAAGTTCTGTACTGATGATGCGTCACTACCCAGATCTGGGTGGTGTTTCTGATTGGTTGAATCAAATTTCCCATGTGGCATGACCAATGAGAAGCACTACCCAGATCTGGGTAGTGACGTGTCATCAGTATGGAATTTGTGCACTCGTTTCTCAGACGTCATTTGCCGTGGAAACCAGTGGTAGTGTTGCCAAATGTCGGCTGTTTCGTCAGGCTAGTTTTTTGCAAATGTATTTTAGTTTAATTGTTTACGATAATAATTATGTTGAGGTATTTTGTTATCAGGTGATATTTCATAAAAATTCAATACCGTACATTAAGTTCTGCATATCAGGATAATTATAAGATTGCAATCTTCCAGGTTTACACTGTGCACCAACTCATCATCATAGTTTAAATTTGGCAATCAATTCTGTTTAGATACTGAATAGATTGAGAACGGAAGCAACATTTTACTTCTCCATATATTTAAATTCATAGTTTGTTCAGACTATCGGCTATGCAATTTTGAATTTGGCGAATAGTTCTATTTTGTTTGGATATTATTGAGAATGGAAACAACACTGTACTTCTCCATACACTTAACTTTTCTTTTCCGTATGCACTAATGGCTATACAGTGATAGGAAGAAGGAAGGAATCTGTATCCCCTGTGATACCTTTTGGGCTCTGTCAACGAGGTTTAAAGTATAGCTTAACATTAAAGTATAAACTGACAATTAAGAATACATAGCTGGTCTGACTTTCTCCCCTTGGCCTGTATCGAAACACCATAACTTCTCAAAAGCAATGGCATTTCATACTGTCACAACATTTTGGTCCTACTATCCCCAGAAAACTTACAATCAAACTACATGTGACTTGTTGTCAGCGAGGCAATATCAATAATACTGGGAAAAGGGTTGGTGAAGAAACAATTATTTTCTGTATTGAATTTACATCAGATGTACTAGAGAAGACTTGTGAGTTTCGAAGAGGTCTGGCCTCCACTCATGGAAATTTGAAAATCTGAACTCTCATATTTTCAAAGAAATGTATGCTGCAAGGGCTGTAGCTGTTGGCCGCGCATTCTTTGTTAGAATTTAAGACTTCAATCTCTTCTACTTTCTTGGTTTTTAGCAGATCAGCATTGTACCACTAGTAAATGAGTACATATCTTATGTTATACATGTAAATGAGCAGCAGTGATTGTTGAAGTTAAAACTGGAGATAGAGATAGGTGTGTGATATAGATATTATTATTACATTATGTACTTTAAAAAAAAACGTACTTTATATTTTCCGTATTTTATAGACAGTCTCTGATTGCTTTTTATTTAAATACTGTTGTATCTCTCCTTGTTGTAGGAATGTTACAATCACAACAGGATCATTGATTTCATTTAATGTAAGTCATAGGTGCAGTAAAATGTAATAATCATATTATTAGATTTTAATTTACTGAATTGGCTGACTAATACTCTCTAAATATCACTGTTTTTTGTCCAGGTTGTGATAGGACCCGATATAGTCCTTCCTCCCGGTGTGAAAATAACACTAAAAAGACAGACAGAAGGCGATGACTTTGGAATGGATGGACTTTCTCTTGAAGACAACCAAAGCGTAGGTAGGGTTCTCTCTTCTTATTAACATATTTAAGGTTTCACTTACTTGCAAAGGCACTGGTCTTTTAGGCAAATAACTTAATTATAGTAAAATAATAATAATAATGCGAATATTTATACAGGATAACCTTCAGTTCTATTTAAAAACGACTGTTATCAAAAGGGTCCTGTAACTAAATAATAGATAACTAAAAAATAAAAAATAAAATCGAACGTGGAAAATAAAAGAAACTAACACTAAGAAATCTAAGATTCAAAAATCAGCGACAACTGTGACAACAGTGAAAAAAGCGAAAACAGTGACAACAGTAACAACACAGACAACAGCGACAACAGCAACAACAGCGACAACAGTGACAACGGCGACAACAGCAACAACAGTGACAACAGAGACAACTGAGACAACTGAGACAACAGCAACAACAGTTACAACAGTGAAGACAGCAACAACAGTGACAACACCAACAACAGTGACAAGTGACAGCAGCAATAACAGTGACAACAGCGACAACGACGACAACAATGGCAACGGTGACAACCATGAGTACAGCGACAACAGTGACAGCAGCAGCAACACCGACAACAGTGACAACAGCGACAGCAGCGACAACAGCAACAACAATGACAACAGTGACAACAGTGACAACAGAGACAACACCGACAAGTGACAAAAGTGACAACAGCGACAATAGCGACAACAGTGACAACAGTGACAAAAAGCGACAACAGCGACAACAGTGACAACAGCGACAACAACAACAACAGTGACAACAGCGACAACAGCGACAACAGTCACAACAGTGACAACAGCAACAACAGTGACAACAGTGACAAAAGCGTCAACAGTGACAACAGTGACAACAGCGACAACAGGGACAACAGCGACAACAGCAACAACAGTGACAACAGTGACAAAAGAGACAACAGCGACAACAGCAACAATGGTGACGACAGCGACAACAGTCACAACAGTCACAACAACGAAAACCTCGACAACAGTAACAACAGTGACATCAGTGACAACAGCGACAACAACGACACAGTGACAACAATGACAACAGTCACAACAGCGACCACAGAGACGACACCGACAACAGCGACAACAGCGACAACAGCGACGACAGTGACAACACCGACAACAGCGAAAACTGCGACAACAACGGCAACAGTGAAAACATTGACAACAGTGACAATAGCGAAAACAACGACAAATGTGACAACAGCGACATCACCGACAACAGCGACAACAGTGACAACAGCGACAACGACAACATTGACAACAGGGACAACAACGACAACAGTGACAACAACGACAACAGTGACAACAGCGACAACAACGACAACAGTGACAATGCTGACAACAGCGACAACAGTGACAACAGCGACAACAACAACAACAGTGGCAACATCGACAACAGCGACAATAGTGACCACAGTGACAACAGCGACAACAGCGACAACACCGACAACAGTGACAACAGCGACAACAGCGAAAACAGCGACAAAAAAGACAACAGTGAAAACAGTGAGAACACCGACAACAGCGACAACAGTGACAATCGCGAAAACAGCAACAAATGTGACAACAGCGACATCACCGACAACAGTGACAACAGTGACAAGAACAACAAGAGAGACAACAGCGACAACGACATCAGTGACAACAGTGACAACAGGGACAACGACAACAGTGATAACAGTGACAACAACGACAGCTGTGACAACACCGACAACAGCGACAACAGTGACAACAGCGAAAAGAGCGACTACAGTAATAAAAGTGACCACATCGACAAAAGCAACAACAGCGACAACTGTGACAACACCGACAACTGTGACAACAGTGAAAACAGTGACAACACCGACAACAGTGACAAGAGCGACAACGACATCAGTGACAACAGGGAGAACACCGACATCAGTGAGAACAACGACAACAGTGACAACAGTGACAACACCGACAACAGTGAGAACCGTGACTATAGCGAAAACAACGACAACAGTGAAAACAGTGACAAATGTGACAACAGCGACATAACTGACAACAGGGACAACAGTGACAACAACGACAACAGCGACAACATTGACAACAGGGACAACAACGACAACAACAACATCGACAACAATGACAACAGTGGGAACACCGACATCACCAACAACAGTGGCAACAGCGACAACAGTGACAACAGTGACCAAAGAGGCAAAAGAAACAACAGTCAAAGCAGCGGAAACAGCGACAACGGTGACAACAGGAACATTGGTGACAACAGCGACAACCGTGACAACGACGACAACAGTGATAACAGTGAAAACACCAACAACAGCGACAATAGCGACAAAAGTGACAGCAGGGACAACAGCGACAACAGTGACAACAGCGACAACGGCGACTATTTTGACAACAGCGACAATAGTGACAACAGTGGCAACAGCGACAACAGTTACAACAGTGACAACAGCGACAACAGGGAAAACAGTTACAACAGAGAGAATAGCGACAACAGTGACAACAGCGACAACAGCGGGAACATTGACAACAGTGAGAACAGCGACAAAAGTGAGAGCAGTAACAACAGCAACAACAGTGACAACAACGACAACAGTGACAACAGCGACAACAGTGACAACAGCGACAACAGTGACAGCACTGAGAACAGTGATAGCAGTGATAATATTGACCTCAACGACAAGTGATAATAGTGACAACAGTGACCAGAGCGACAATAGCGACAACAGTAACAACAGTCACAACGTCGACAACGGTTACAACAGTTACAACATTACCAACCGCGACAACAGTGACAACAACTACAACGGTGACAACAACGACAAGTGACAACATTTACAACAGTGACATCAGTAACAACAGCGACAACGGTGACTACAGCGACAACAATGACAACCGCGACAACAGCGATAACAGTGACAACAGGGACAAGAGCCACAACAGCGACAACAGTGACAACAGTGACAATAGAGACAACAGCGACAATGGTGACAACAGTTACAACATTGACAACCGCGACAACAGCGACAACAGCGACAACAGTGAGAACAGCGACAACAATGACAACGGTGACAGCAACGACAAGTGACAGCATTTACAACAGCGACATCAGTAAGAACAGCGACAACGGTGACTACAGCGGCAACAGTGACAACCGCGACAACAGCGATAACAGTGACAACAGGGACAAGAGCCACAACAGTGACAACAGCAACAACAGCGACAACAGTGACAACAGTGTTAACAGTAACAATAGCGACAACAGTGACAACAACGCTAGCAGCGACAACAGTGACAACAGCGACATCAGCAACTACAGTGACAACAGCCACAACAGTGACAACAACGACAAGTGACAACAGTCACAACAGGGACAACAGCCACAACAGCAACAACACTGACAACTGTGACAACAACGACAACAGTGACAAGAGCAACAACAGCAACAAAAGCGACAACAGTGATAACAGCGACAACAGCAACAACAGTCACTACAGTGACAACAGTGACAACAGCGACAACAGTGACAGCAGTGACAACAGCGACAACAGTGACAACAGCCAGAACAGTGAGAACGACAACAGTGACAACATTAACAACAGCAGCAACAGCCACAACAGTGACAGCAGTAACAACAGCAACAACAAAGAGAACGGTGACAACAACAACAACAGTGACAACAATGATCATTTCTGGGTAAAATCTTATCATTGGCGTAAGTTTGTTTTTGTTTTTATGTCGCAGGCTTTAACCCTGATGTAGTAGGCACTGAGGGACAAGGGTTTATTTGGGAGGCTGGCGGTGACTCTGATGATGAACGGGAGCAAGTCGGGGATATCTGGGGTGAGTGAGAGAAGCAACTGCTATCGCTCTTACAGTAATGTTACGAGTAGCCTTTGTTATTTCTCATATGTATTAGACCTTAATCACCTTAACGACCTTAACGAAAAACGGTAAAACGGCCGAGATGCTCAAACGGTTGCTTGATTGTACCCGAGCACGATGATACATTAAAGTTTCTTGTTATGTTTTTTCGTGTATGTTGAAGTATCGATCTTCACGTTGTAAACAGCCAGCTATTTTAGTCATGTTGTTATCTCTGCCTTTTGTCGTAAACTCTCTAGTAGCAGCAGGACAGCAGGTAAAACACACAGACGGTGGAATATCGTCTCTTCGAGGAAAGGCGAGGCGCGCATCATCTGTTTTTCACTTGCGCCAGTAAATGTATTTTGCAAAAACTGAGAGTTGTAAGAGTCCTTTTACGTAATAGTGAGCTTTAGATTTGAGTAAGAGTGGGACTTCCGAATTTCAAACCAGTTCTTTCCCACTCATTAGCCTGCGAAGCAAGCGTTTCTGCTCGATTTACTCTCTTTTTTGCTCTATTTTCAACTTTCTCGACTAACTCGCTAGCAGATGCTTTCTCCGCGTAGACTACCCACTCAATCCTCTTATAATGGTAATCAGAACATGGAGTGACATATACATGCAAAGGGGACCAAAGAGGGAACCATTGTGTCTCGGGTTTAAGTCTCGGCATCGACTGAATGTGTGTTGAGTTTATTATTGGCTCTCGCCTTTTGTAGGGTCAGGTTCTTCCTTTTACCCCTTTCCTCAAAAATCAGCATTTCCAAATTCCAATTCGGTCAGAAATCGTAGACAAAGAAGCACATTGTGAACGTGCTCCTCGGAAATCATTACCTAGTCATTTATTACTTTTTTATAGCTCACAGAGAGCGTTTATGTGAACTTAGTGGCATGAATGCGAATAGGTGACGTTGTATTCACTGGCGTTTATAGGTATAGAGAGGATAAGCTCCAGTGAAGATGAGGTAAGCTCAGAATTCAGTGAAGACCAGTCTCCACCTGGAAGCCCACCGCCTGAAGACGGCAGATGTGAGTACTAGTTTATGATATTTTATTGGTAAGCTTCGCAAAAAGCCCTTCAATCCGGCTTAGTGTCCTTAAAATGTCCTGCTTGTTGACGGACGATTGCTGTGATCGTGAAAATTGCGAGCGTTCGAATCCCAGCGTTTATCATTTTTCCCAGAATTCAATGCACTCTAGTAAGGTAATGACGTCAGGTCCAGCATTTTTTGTAGGCGACTGAGCGCTCAGTTGGTGTTTTATGGAAACAAGTCAATCGCGCTGAACGTTTCAGGACGTTAGGGACGAGCCTGACGATCCTATGGAAATCAGACTTTTCTTGTAGAACTTTCAGTGTAATTTGGCGACCAGGGGTCAATTTAATAAAACTTTTACTAGTGTAATTTACAATTGTAGCCATTGTTTTCAGACTCGAAAACAATGGCTACACTTGTAAACTGACCCCAGATAATGAGGTCTTCAATGAAACTACTTTTGTAGTCGAGTTTGCAAATTGTCAATGTATAAATATTTGCGAAGACATGGCGTTTAATTTGCGATTATTTAACTAACGTCCAGTAAGCCCCCAAAAAAATCGATTAAAAGAATATTGTCAGACAATGTAGGTAACAAGGTATTTTGATAACTATGGTTCACTCTGCTGTTTTTACTCCAGTGTTCTATACTGAAGTGCTGGAGTCCATAAGGCATGGAGTCGCTAATCACGTGGATCCTGAGAACATCATACTGGAGGTTAATGCGTCTAAGTAAGTCAATTCAATCAGTTAATAGTACAGTCAACTACAGTCAACTCCAGACACCGTTTCTCTCGTGGTCTTTTTCCTTTCACTGGGACTGTGTTCTGCAGGTGAAAGTAACAGCCTTGCCCATGGCTTTTAGATCTTGTTTAACTTTAGCAACTTTACTTCGTGTTTAAAGCCCCTGCAGAGAACGTGTTTTAAGGTTCTGGCGTTGTAGAGAGTCCTGTTAATGTGTGGATGGAAGGCTGTAATGGAGAAAAACATTTCCGTTTTAAAACAATATCCGGACACGTTAGGACGGGTCCCTAATCAAGGACACAGTACGGGTTTCTGGTGAAATTTGTGCACGGTAGGCGTGGCGGGATTCGCAGGTAGACAGATCACTGCCATATATTCAATGCAACCGATTGTTACTTCGTTGGTATACTTTGACATACGCTCAAGGAATGATTATACGTTTCTGGGAAACTGACCACCTCACCCCCCCCTCACCCCCCACCCCTAAGCCAACATTTTGCCCTCATTGACAAGTAAGTGTTAATGTTGGCTTAGGGGAGGGGTAGGTGGGCAGTTTCCCAGAAACGTATAACGATCCCGCTCAAATTGGTTTTTGTTCATCAGTGAATTGAGAGTCTTTAATATTTACTTTGTCCGGAAATCATGTCTGACCACATCGAAGATTTTTTTGGACGCGGGTCATTTTTTGTCGGACTTTTCCCGATGACCGACTGTTACTTGCAACTCTGCTGATAAGGTGGATATTGTTTCGTAAGAAGCAAACTCGTTACCAGGGTACATGTATACATCTACTCGTTCCCTTCTCTCGCCCCGGGGGACGAGTAAGGAGAGGATCCTGGAACTGAGGTTGGGTGTGAAGCTGTTTAAAGGGACAGGTTGACGGTTAAACGCATGCTCATTAATTAAATAACTTTTTTTCAATTTATTATTTATTCTATCGGTTAATAATCCCTTTCACATGTATCTCAGCGATCTCAAAGTGTATTTCAAAGTAGAAGTGTATGTCAGAGCAACCTGTAGGAGGATGGAGGATTATTAAAATCGCAGAAAAAATTAGTGGATTATGCCAACACTACCAACGTTGAATTTATTGTTGACCCGAAGGTTTTATTTCATGGTTGATTAATTTACAGCTATTTGCAAATATTTCAGTTGATCAAGTGCAAGTGACTGCCAGGGGAGTGTGCAGATTGGTCATTGACAACATTATGACATGATCATATTGCTTGCATAGACGATACAGCATGTCCCGGCGGCAAAACAGCATTTTGATAAATAAGCATGCCCCGAACCGAGAACCTGTCTCTTTAATATTAGTGTAGTTTGCTTGCTTTTAAATAGACCTCTTTAGCTTGTGTGTTTTGTTTTCCCAGTAAAGGCTCCGGGGGAACTTGACTTCATAAATTATGCGTACATATGCACGTGAACAAAACGAAATTTGAAAGAAACAGTTCACTAGAGTATCATCACATGACTTTTATTGGGAAAAAAAAACATACAAGCTAAAGAGGTCTATTGTAGGTCAACCATCTGTTCACCGTGCGAGCAAAGCCCCTTTTGTCTCCTTGAATGAGGAATAGAAACCAAGCTCTGCCTAAATCGCGATCAGCCTTTGAAGTCGCCGAAGCCCGAACTCCTGGACTAGTCAAATCTTGTTCTCTACCGCCAAACTTGCTTTTCGAGTGCGATCGTCGGTTTACACAATAAACCGATGGTCATAACGGAGCCCTCTGTACCCAGCGCATGGCTATTAGGCCTGGGTTCGAAACCGTATCCCAGCAACAAGCAGCACATGCTCAATAAAAATGTTGCGCGAGTAAAAAGGCTCTGTTAGTAGGGTTTTTGGAAGTCATTGTCATGGTACGTAATGTAAACTCATGCTTCCTGTGTTGTTACTGCAGGTTCGCTTATAACGTGACGTTTCATGAGTTAAACCAGGCAGTGATCAAGTCTTTACTGGAATCGTCACTGCATGATTCCTCTTTATCGAAACAAGATATGTCCAAAAATCTTAAAAAGGTACATTGTGTCAGTTAACCTGGGGTGATTACCATTTACTAAAACCACCCGGGCGAAATCTTGCGCTTAAACATAAAACTGTCAAGGGACGTGGTGGGAAAACGATCCGCTACCACAAAGTATATCCAAATCAGCTTAACAGTCCATATTGTCTGAAGCTTCCCAAACGGAATGGCGCGAACCATTTGATTTTCCAACCGGAACTTTCGGTTTTCCCATGATAATGGTAAGTACCCCCAGTTATTTTCTGTTCTTATCGGAGAGAAATTCCTTTCCCCCTTCCCCCAATCAGTTTTTAACGGCGTGGCTTAACTTCTGTGCAACACAGACTTTAGCGAGGGTTTGCGAGATACGTGTTTCTTAGGATTAATCTAGCCAATAACGCGTCTTTATGCGCTAAGGAACTTAACCTTAGCGAAGAATTTACTTGTAAATGATCAAATCACAGCTTTGTATCAAGCAAATATCTGTCCCAAAGAATTATATCAAACGTTATAAACAACTAAAATGAACTTTGAAAAATTGTTTGGCTAACAAGTTTTTAAAACCCGCAATTGTCATCCTTTTTAATCTTCTTCAAGTTTGTCCATCCGTGCCTTCCTATTAATTTGCTGTGTAATTTATTATTTCTTTTAATATTTTAAAGAGTTTTAGTGTTATTTTAAAGAGTTTTAGTGTTAAAATCAATTTGGTGGAAACTCCCACTGTTTGAATTTTGATAATTTCGTGACACAGCTTCTGTAACTTTCTTACATGGCCTTCATGTTACAAGTCCCAAAATCAGTGTTTTTCTGTCACGAGTTGTTGCCGGACTCTTGAGCCTGAAGGTGAGAGTTGTTTCAGCTAACTGTTTCTATTGCATTTGTTTTCAGGCTACAGAGCATCTTCTGCCGATCGTTTCCAACTACATTAAGACGGCTGATAGTCAAAGAGATGCATTGAACGCCACAGAGGTAACAAAGAGTTTGTGTGAAGCACAAAACGCACTTTCAAAGTTCGAGGCAAACCAGCCGGATTGACCAGTTCCAAAAGATTTTGTGTTGCTTGAGAGCTATTAGATAATCTATTTAAAATTTTGATGCAAATTCTAGTTTTATTTAAACCTCCTTAAATGTCCTGATTGTACGTATTTGATGTTGCAGTGTCTTCTACCATAGTTAAACTATTTCTTGTATAGCTGGGATAGGTCTCTTCTCTAACTTACTTTAGACGCTCTGCATTACCATATTCCGTACCTTGTATGATGTTTCCGTTCCCTTCCAAAAAAAAAAGTGATTTGTCATTTCGCGGTGAATTAAATCGGTGTTAATACGCTAACCTGGGATTTCGTTGACCTTGTCACGGAAATGCTCGGTAACTCCCTTTGTGGTTTTCGTCCCTGACATTTAACTGAGGTTTCTGGCTTGTCGATTTACCAGGTTTCAGTTGTTCCAAAGTTGGATGCAGCTTTCTAGCGGATAGGTCCTTGATAGACCATTCTCATGCCTACGTCATTTTGGCTTCAACTACCACACTTCATTTCGTTTTTTCACTTCCTGTTTCAATTGAGTAATACTAGGCAGATTCAGTAACAAAAGAGGTCTTGAAGGAGTGAGCAGATCAGTGCCGGATACAGACCTCGAGATAAGGGGAGGGGCCCGGTCATCCAGACCCTTAGATACGGGGAGGAGAGGGAGGGGGAGGTCTCCAAAAACTTTTTTTGGGCCCTTCGGGCCTCAGTTTGGTAAAAAATATGAGGGCGGGGCACCCGGGGCCCCTCCCCTGGATCCGCCACTGCAGATGGCCTTTTCGTTTCTCAGACCGTTATCCACCGAATGATTTATCCGGTAGAAAGTGCTATCCAACTTAGCTCAACTTTGAACCACCTGGACAAGGAATCTAATCGCACTAGATGTTTTGCCTCGCGAAAAAATTGTCATCTTTATTATGTACATTAATTAATGGAGAGTTGCAGCCTCAACTATTTTCATTTTTGTATTTGTTTTTGTTAGGAGTTTTTCCTGCAAGCCATGTGGGCAGCTCCTGTGTCCCAGATTTTCCTTCACTATTTGTACGATAAAGAAATCCTTGAAGAGTCTGTGATTCTTCAGTGGTTTTCCCGGAAGTCCACAGGAGTAGATGACAGCGGTCTCGAACCACAGCGTAAGCATTTGCGACAACAGGTACGTCAGCGACTATGCGAGTGTATTAGCGAGTTTAGAGTGTTTTCTTTTGTAATTAATGCGTTAATGCGTATATGTTGTGCTAACCATTAGAGCTTTGGAACACTAAAAAGGTTAACTCTAAATAGTTGCCAGTCATTTTCTACTCTTAGCTTTCTTGGATCAACTCGCAAAGGTGACTGGGGTCTTTGTCGATTCCAAAGAATGAGTAATGCCCCATTCAGACCAACTAAACATGTTTAATTTAACCAGGTTTTAAGAATGAAAAACAGACGCGGAAGACTGGAACACAGGTTTTCACACAGGATTGAAATGAAATTCAACGTGGTTTGTTATTTGCAATAAATTTGCAATCAACTTAAGTCAGTAGACAGCTTTTATGAAGGAAACAATTTTCAACGGTGTTTAATTAAACACGACAGCTTTTAAATACGTCTAAGCTTTGTTGTGAATGGGGCTTGTGTCTTGCCTATATCATTAAAGAAAGAGACTACCCGCAAAGAAATAGTTACGTCGGAGAAGAAATAGCTCGTTCTCTGACACAGATTTTTTCCTGCCTTTGTTTTGCTTGTTTCTTTTTTCCTTTTCTATGAGGAGCTCTTCTCACTGGGGGCTATGTTAAGAGTTACTTACTCCAACCAGACTATTTAGCACTATGTCCGGGTTCGATTCCAAGCCGCGCTTACACTCAGGGTCTGGAAATAACTGAGGAGAATATGCTGCCTTTGTTCTGTTATTTACAAATGATTAGACATTTCGTGTCTTCTTCAATAAAGACGAGAAACTTTCACTCCCAGTGATATGGCTTCTGCTTTTCATAAAGAGTAGGGCACTAAGACCCCGCTAGTGAGGTCAACCTTAAGCTGCTATGACACTGCCTCCTTGAGTGCAAACCGATTCAAGACTACTTGTCTATTGTTCGGTTGACAGATCTCTCCATTTATTACATGGTTACAAGAAGCAGAAGAAGAAAGTAGTGAAGATGATGATGATGATGATGACGAGGACGAATGAATCTGTTTTATAAAATCCTCCTCTAGAGAAACGTATTAAATGAACATTTTAATTGTAGATTTTCTTTCCTATTACTTTCCCGTGCAGATCTACTTGTGGGGTAGAGAAATATACCTTAAAATATCATGAAACAATGCATCAAAAATACTGAAAGTTACACCTTTATTGGTTATTTCTTAACTTCTTTACGATTTACTTTTAAACTTATTATTTTGCTTTAAATTTGAAACATGCCATCAATTGTCAATGAAATCACAGTGAATGTGGAGACGTTAGATTTTGGAAATCGTCTCTGGTTCCATTTTTATTGTCGGTGCGCTTCTCTTCTCCGTTTTGTTTTGTCTAACTGGAACATAATTTTCTGACGAATGTCGTCATTGATCAATGTTATGCACTGCAATAATTCTTGCAACAAAAACGTAAAAATCATAGATACTTTAAGCCTGAGAAACAGCCAACATTTCCCGACACAGCACTGGTTTCCGAGAGAAATGTCATGACGAGCGCAGAGATTCCGTGCAAATGACGTGTCACCACTTAGATTTGGATAGTGCTTCTGATTTGATAAAGAAAATTTTTAACCAATTAGGGTAGTAACACGTCATCAGTATGGAATTTCTGCGCTTGTTACTCAGACGACATTTCGCAGGGAAACCAGTGGTGGGGTCTCGAGATGTAGGCTGTTTCTCAGGTCAGCATACTTTTCTCCTTAGCGTTGAGTTTTTTTGAAGAAACATGAGAAGAATATTCTTGGACTTATCGTCCTGTAGAATGTTTGGTGTTGAGGTAGTGAAACTAGTAATCCAAAATCCCCGGCTATTGTTTAGTCACAATAACATGAACAGGATTACATTCTACGATTTGTAAGATCCAGGGTACCTTCTTAATAATTACAGTCCTGCGGGAAAATACCAGTGTTTGTCTTTGTAATCGCACGGGTGATCTGCATGTCTGTTTATCCTTATACCTTATTCTCCAGACCTTTGGCCCAGGCTGTGGATATTTTTTGTAATCTGTCCTTTCTTCGCCCAATCGTTAATACTGTGGTCATATTCGTCTAGTGCCAGATTTTCTGGTCTCAGTCGAGCTTCTCTTAGTTTGACGGACCTCTGTCTTGGACGCACTGGTCGAGCCAGTTTCATAGATTTCAAGCCTCTCAATCCCTGTAGTTTCAGTCGCTTTTGTAAGTTTTTCAAGTAACGGCTTCTTGCTAATGTTCTTTGGGCGCTGCGGTATCGACTGTATTGCTTGGAAAAGCTGGCAAATAAAAATGTATCTAATGTTAATAGAGCATTGTTTCAATAGAGTCGTCCGCGGGATAGTGTCCACCGTCCGGGTCTTCTGAAAGTGGGATCGAGGTGATCATTTCGCCTAGGCTTAACTCATTCTTTCTTGTATTTCAATTTGAAAAGTTATCTGAAAGAAATTTAATGCAGTTACTTAGGGAGTTTTAGCTATCCCTAATTGGCTGTCCACTTTGTTTCACTTGCGCTGTTTTTCACCTGTTTTATTTTTACTTCTCTTAACATTTTTTTAAGGAGCGCACTTCTTTACCGACGACTTTCAGGTTGTTACACCCCTGATTATTTTTTAACTTAAGCAACCACGACGGCGACGACAACGAGAACGGAAAAAAGGCAATAGGTTTGGATTAACAAAACAACAACTTTGCACGTGCATCACGCTGTTTTGTACATTTCTTTACCGTCACTGCACCCCTACGACGTGAAACTTCCTAATTTCACGTTTTGAAGAGGACGTGAACAGAAGACAACGACTTTCTTTTTGTTTTCCTGTACTTTGATACAGTCCTTTAGCATTCAACTCGAGAAAAATTTGCCAACATTTGACGAATTGAACGAGACGGAATAAGCGCCCTAAAGTTTGAGGCAGCGCGAATGCACTTTTTAAGTGACGTTTTCGCAGCCATCGCCGTCGTCGTTTCTTTAAGCTCACTAGTATACTGTATTTTGCCGCTTATAAGCCATGGGATAATACATCTCTGCACGGGGTTTCAGAAGGGCTGATAAGCGAAGGAGCATTTTTTTGTATACAAGTAGATGGGCTTATAAGTGGGTGGAAATTAGCGGTAATCAAAATATGGGAAAGCATTAGTTTTGACTTTTCTACTAGGGTTTATCAGTAAACCGTTCATCATACAATGTATCATACCTATTAACAAGGGATTTCCTAGATGCACAACAGGCAGTATCACAGCTCGGCGCGCAGTAAGCTGGGCACGAGGAGTGACACGGATTTTCCACGGGCTGCGAAGAACAGCATTGTGGGCTACATTGCGGATAACACAAGAAATGGCATGATCCCGGGCATGTGATACTGGGAGGGGCGGCGACTAGAGATCCAGCGTTTGTCTTTGAAGTCTCCAATAAGTCCGACATGTTCGAACAGCAATCATTATCACAATCCGGGAAACAGCTGTCGTCACATGTCCCAGGACATGATGGGAGCACTGATGGTGACACTCGAGGGTGGTATTTGTAAGATGGGGGTTGGAATGCACAGCACTGCGCACTACACCCCGCGGGGTAGCACTTATCTGGTTGGGAACAAGGCTGTGCGCATACTCCGGAGCCTCGTTCTTGCATTGGAAGATTAAGTCTAAGGTATCCAGCGGGTAGTGCAACTGAAAAAAAAAATTAGCAAACACACAAGTAAAGGAGCTGTGTCAGGTTTTTTTGGTGTAACTTAAATACCCTAGAATCACATTGGAATCAAAGAAAACCCTCAAATAATGAGTCGGTTTTATTCAAAATTACTCTACTACAATACTTCAAGAGTAGTATAGTAGATAACCCCTCTTTTACAAGAAGGAATCTCATTAACTCGGGAGGAATACATTAACGACGATGACATCATATCGTCTTTGTGTCTAAAACAATGGAAAAACAATGGAAAACAATATTGGCGGTCAGCCCCCAAGTAGTGGTCGCGGTCGCTTACAGGAGGTAGTTGTTTATAGAGGTTCTAACTCTAAGGCTTTAGCTGGGTTAAACGTTTGGTGTTATAGGTGGCCGCTTATGTGAGGTGGTCGCTTTCGAGTGGTGGTTAAACATGGAGGTGCGAGTTGTATAATAAAACCTGTATTAATATAGGTATGGTAACCTAGCTGTAATACCTCTGTATTCGTAATACAGTGCCGCCTTATTCTTACCTGCAGATTCGTACTTAGATGCTACAGGCATATCTCCGATTTTTCCTGCGAGTAGTGCTCTTGTTAGAGGGTCGAGGTGACCTGGAGCGTCCTTAGTGAAAAGTAAACCCAACGTGGCTATTACACCACTTCCGTTTCTGTGATTAAAGTACAAGAACGGAACGAGCTCAAATAACTTATAAAAAAATGGGCAAGGGGAAATTATTGATGGCATAGAAAAAGGAAAAAGAAAAAGGAAACACACAAGTGTACCCTAAGTTGCTAGTTAGCTATAATTTATTTTATGACTGGTTCTGCGAGCGGACACCATGAAGTAAATCCTGAGTTCTTATTGCCTACCCAAGCGTGCGAGATGGGCCTGTCTAGACGTTTGGAATCTTCTGTGTTGGTCCTTCAAGAAAGAGCCTTCTTTTTGGCCATGTAATAAATCCTCGTAGCTTTTTCGGTAATGGTTGGATACTGGCCTCTATTTTGCGTTTTTATTTGACCTCGACTTTATCTCCGGCCGTAAATTGCAAACGAAGAAGGATTGATGGCACACTGGTTCGACAGTAGGGAGAAATAGCTACGACGACGATTCGAGAAGCAAAACATGCTTTTTTGAAAATTTCCTTGCCGACGCTACACGACTACGACGTGTAAGTTCCTTATTTCACGTTTTGCAGAGGACGCGAACACAAGACAGCGACTTTCTTTTTCTTTTCCTGAACTTCGATATTGTCTTTTAGAATTCAAACCCAGAAAACAAATTATCAACAGTTGACGAATTGAACGAGATGGAATAAGCACGATAAAGTTTAAAGCAGTGCGAATTCACCTTTTTAGTGATGTTGCATGTGTTGCAACGTCAGCGTTAACAAAGGTTGGCAAACGAGTACTCATCCACAGCAGAAATTGTAATGGATAAAAATACACGTTTGCAGACTGCTTTCGGGAAACGTTGCATTACAATAATTGTTTACCTCGACTTTGCGATCGAGTAGACGAAAGGCCTAAACTCATAACAGATACTTGTTTAGGCACATAAAACGAAAGAGCAAATGAAACGCGAGCTCAGGCTATCTTGGTTGTCGAAAGAAACGAGGTTAACACGTTTTTCTCCTAAGAAACCAAACAGTAGTTATCTTACCTCAGAGATATTACTTTGGCTTCTAGGAATTCGTCTTTGTCATCGAAAAGATTTAAGATCTAGCAACATGACGGAAATGCAAACAACAAGATCATATCATATCACAGTCATCACTTCCATTCATCACAAAAAAACTCTGGTGCTGCTACAAAACCAGCAACTGGAAAAATTGGTTTGCTTTACTTACCGCACTAGTTATGTTTCTTTTCACTTCTTCAAAAGCCAAACTTTCTGGCACCATCATTTCACTGGAGAAGTTCATCTTGGGGAAGCGAATTTCAACTCGGAAGTCTTTGCCTGTTACAAAAAGGTGTATGGTGTTGTGTCAAAAAAGGGAATGTATTTTTCCTTTTTGCTGTTGTTTATATCCTACCCGCAATAATTCTACCTTTAACTTTTCTCTTGTTAACAGCTAGAAAATGTGCTTCTATTCAAAGCTAGACTTTCCTCCACTCACGCTCGTAAGAAAAACACTTAATTTTCATTATTATTCATTCAAAATATTTCCCCAATTCTGATTGGCTAAAAGCGCACGCATAATTCACAATAACCAGTTACTGATGTTGGAAGAATTTTGACTTTAACGAGGAAATGACGTCAAAAATGCAACGGTCTTACAGCTTTATGCACCGTGGGAACGAGGCTGAGTTGTTTTGGTTGTGAAAATCAAAATGGAGGACACTTCACTTGTTTCAAGAGTAAAAACTACACCTGGAACTACACGTAATAATAGCAAAAAACATAGCAAAAACAGCCAGAAGACAACTCGGAGGGCGACATCTGCTATTCGGATAATATTTGTATTTGCAGGTAAGCTTGTTTTAGCTATGTTTTTAAACTAGGAATTATTTTGAATGAATAATAAAACAATTATTGAATTCGGCTTTCGTATCATATGAAGAATTATGGAGATCTCGGAGGGTGCCATCCGCCTCGGCCTACGGCCTCGACGGATAACACCCTCCTCGATCTCCATAATTCTTCATAAGATACTCAGCCTCATTCATTAATTGTTAATTAATTGCAGGCGATTAGAGGAGCTCGCAATCCTGATCTTTAAGTATACTACAACGCATGAGCGGCATATATGCAGCAAACATATCATTCCTTTGGACTGTCTCTAAAAGTGAATGGAACGCATTGAAAGCCATCTGGTTACGCGCGTTTGGACCTCCTACCTCGCGAAACTTACACAAAGCATAGTGTTGGGGCAAGATCATTTTGACCTTCTAGTGATCTCGTCCGCAATCCCTAACAGTTGATTATTACCATCTAAACCTTCCTCTAACAGAGTTTGATCGAGGTTAGACCTAACAAAACTCAGCCTTTCATCAGAGCCTTTAAGTTATGTGAATACCTTGCTTAGGAGTCATAAGCTCCAATTCTGGTGGCAGCTTTAAGGGTACTGGCATTGCCTTCTTTGGAGGTGGTTTAGGTACCTGTGGTTCTACATATGTGAGGTCTGTCTTAGGTGGTTCATGAAGCTTTTTCGGCCGCTCATAATTTTGTGGTAATTGTGTTACTTTTTCGAGTGCTTCGTCCTTCCCCTTCGTCTCTTCTTTGCTCTGTTGCACTTCTGCCCCCACATTTTTTGTTTCATTCGGCCTCGGTTTCACATCAGCAGACTCAGATTCAGGATAAAATGGTCGGGTTTGCTTGTGATCGGAAACTTCGTTTACTGGAGCTACATTTGTGGAACCTTCGCTCTGCTGTGCATTTGTTTTGTCGCCTTTGTCAGCTGGTTTTCCATTTAAAGGGTTCTGAGGAGAACTCTGATCTTCCTTCGGAGGACTTTGTCCTTCTCCTGCCTCATCACGTGACGACTGCGTGTTTGATTCTTGTGTCGCAGGATGGTTCTTTGCAGAGTCCTGACTGTTTTCCACAGCTTTACCTTGCATATCATACTGCTGTGGGGCTGAACGGTCAGGTTCTGTTGCATTTTCCGGCCCCTGTGCATTCGAATCAACATTAATCTCCTTGAAATAAATAACATTCGGCTTCGGGGATGAAGATCCGTCTTGACCTTAAGAGAAGATTTAAAAAGCATAAATCAGTATCAATGACGGTTTTCCTATCAATCTTGGCCAGAGATATTGAACAAAGAGAATTATATTAAGAGTTTTATGGAGTTTCTTTCTACAATTAATTCTTCAGATTTTAACATTTTGTCGGGAACATGGCAGCATTTCAGCATGTTGTTTTTATTATAATTATGGAATAACAAATAAGGGTATAAATAAAGCCTTTTCTCAAAGGTTAGAAAATTTAACCAATAATTTAGATATGTCAATCCGCTGAAAATTTGTAATGTTTTAAAATCTTAAATTCCCGTAACTATGTATACAACTAACTTCAAAGGAATAACTATGTAGAAAGCTTAGCTCTGCTACCCTTTTTCTCCAGTTTTCGCCATTTTCGAAAGCAGAAGGGAACTGGAGCCGAAATACGTCTCGCATTTGTTTCTGGGATCGTTACTAGGTACCTGTCAGTCAGCTATTGGCCAATTTTTCCCCTGCCCCTAGCAACAGTCCCAGAAGTCTTTGCGAAAGTCAACTCGAGCCAGGTTCCTTCTCGTTTCTGAAGTGGCGATTCGGTGATAAATATAATGAGTGTTTTTATGAACTGCAGGATTTTTCCCAGTTTTCCTATCTTACCTGGATTTATATCATTGTTGCTATCTTCCTGTCTGTATTCGTCTGAAAATTGTTCTTCCACAGCGGGTACATTATCGCTAAATTCACCATTAATATTTCCAGGTGGGCTGTATCGAGCTACCAAAAAGAAGTTCCCGGATTTGCTCTGTGCTGTGCCAATTCCTAGCTCTTTGGAATTTCGCCAAACTAGCTGACTGAAATGATCTGTTGAGAGAGAAATTCGTCGCTGTTTTTCAAGAGGTCTAACCCTGTATCAGATGTAGATTGAGTAATTGCCAGTTCTTGCTAGTAAATAGACACTCCTTTGACTGCTATCAACAAACCGTTAAAATTTTTGCTGCTGATCAGTCTGAGTTTGAAGCCCTTTGTTAGATTGTTGGGCCAAAGTTGGTTAGTGTTAAGTAATGCTGGATGATATGACGTGTTCAAATCAGGTGACTTTTACATGTTGGAGTAGAGTTTTAGATTAGAAAGAAAGAAGTAGGTTGAATAACTTAACAAAGCGAAGATGAGTTTTCAAACCATCAGTTCGTCACTTATTGGCACATCAGTTGAGCTCATTTGATCATCATTAGGATCAGGCACTGATAAATGACGATCGTTATAGTGGTTTTCATATCGTTACCACTTGATTCCCGAGAATTAGAGACTAGATAACGGCACAAAATGCTGTTTTTTTTACACCGGGTGCCAGGTACATGATCTGTAGATGAGTTGCTTCAGCTTTTATCCGTTAGACCTGAGGGTAGCTGGGAGTTACGGGGTTGCATAGCGCCTAGTGGATTGTGGTCAAAGTGCCTCTGCTCCAACAGAAAACACCGACACAAAAGGAAAAGGTGTCCACCCAATTGCCCGAGGACAAGCTCCCAACCTTTTACTCACGAATTGCCGAGTTCTGGCGTGCGTAACTTCAAAAGAGATGGCACTTATGGGACTTATGGGAAACTTAGCCAGCGTCTGCCGCCGGGGCCTTCAAACCCTGACCCTGTTTAACCCTTTAAGTGCCAAGAGTGAGGAACATCAATTTTCCCCTAACAATATCCATACATAATTCAAAGAAAAGTTTATGAGAATAAATAAAATGATCACCCTTAGGGAAAATGCTTTGATCTTTGAACAAATTCTCTCAACTTATTCTTAAGGAAATGAATTGAGATCAGTTTGGAGAATTTGTATGTGGATATTCGGGCTTAAAGGGTTAAGACAAAAATTGTTTATTTTTCTACCCGGTTTAAGACAAGAGACCTTATTCTATGACCCTTAGTCATTTCGTTTCGCGTTCTTACTTGATTACCATTATTTTTCAAACTAACGTCATTGAATTTTTACTCTTTTAGAAAAAAAATGTTGGCACCACTCATGTAGACCGCTCATCACCGACCTTCACACCCTGTGAAAGGCTTCAGGTCCAAAAACACACCCCGTTAAAGACTCTAAATAGTCAAATTGTATACCCTGTTCAGCGGCACATACCCGTCAAGTCCAAATAAGGGAATGCCCCCCTCCCCCCGGGAGGGGGGAATTTTCACATTACAGTGAAACCTCCATGTAACGATGGACCTAGGGACTGGCATAATAACCGGAAAATTCCGAAAATAACCCCGGGGCTTACATTTTTCAAAGGCCCGTTTTGTGGGGCTTATTTTTGGAGGGGCTTATATTCGGAGGGGCTTTTCTACGGAGGGAAACTTGTGTTTCAAAATCGATTGGCCTAGCCTCATAGTTGGAGGTATATTTACCGTTTTTGCTTTGTTTTACTTTGTATTTGAAGGCAATTTTCCAAGTACAAGCCCCCGGGAGGCTTATATTTGGAGGGGCGATTTAACAGACGTTTTTTGTGTTACCGGTTTATGTTATATCGAGGTTCTCTTCCATATTTTTTACTGTTACTGGGACTAAGAATATCGTTCGTTATACCTAGGACTTCGATTTTTATTTGAGGTTTGTTGTATCGAGGTTCCACTGTAGTATCCAGCGAATATCGTTCTATTCACTGAAGTCTGAACGTAGTTCTCCATTGCAAGTTATTAGGTTTGAAAGAAGAGATGACACTGATTAAAATTGTCACTGACAATCATTATTATTCATTCAAAATATTTCTCCGTTTCTGATTGGCTAAAATCCCACGCATAATTCATCATAACCAGCTACAGTCGACCAAATTTGGAGGAATTTTGCGATATCTGAAAAATGATGTCAATTGTGCAGCATAATGGTCAGAAAACTGAACAGATAAGCGAGAAGACCTGGCGACGAGGTTGAGTTGTTTTGGTAGTGAGTACAAAATGGCGGAGCATTTCACTCGTTTCACGAGGAAAAATATGCGAACTATTGGCTAAAAACATAAAGACAACTCGACGGAAGACATCTGCTATTTGGAGAATGTTTGCAGTACTGAACAACCCTTTATCTTGAAACTTGCCGATAAACATGCTCTATCGAAGATGAACTTATTAAACATCGATAGAGGTAAGCATGTTCTAGCTTGTTTTTAAACTAGGAATTATTTTGAATGAATAATAAAACAATTATTGAATTCGGCTTTTTCAGAGGGAATTATACGGCCTCGGCGGATAACACTCCCCTCGATCTCCATAAATCTTGACATGATACTCAGCCTCATCCAATAATTGTTAATTATTATTCATTCAAATTATTACCCGGATCCTGATTGGCTAAAGCACACGCATAATTCACCATAACCAGTTGCTGATGATCAAATTTGGAAGAATTTTGTGTTTAGCGAGGAAATGACGTCAAAAATGCAGCGTTTTTTCAGGTTAATGCACCATTAACCGAGAAGACCTGGGGACGAGGTTAAGTTGTTTTGGTTGTAGAAAACATTTCACTCGTTTCTAGGGTAAGAACTAGGCGAAATAATTGCTAAAAACATGGCAAGAACAGCAAGAAGACAACTGGAAGGGCGACACACCCTCCTCGATTTCCATAATTCTTCATAAGATACTCAGCCTCATTCATTAACTGTTAAATATTTACCCTTTAAGCCCTGAGAGTGATCAGCGTCAAATGACTCCTTAGAATATCAATACTTTACAAAACACATCAGTGACCTAAATTAAGGAAATGGTAACACAATGAATCTAAATGATACTTCAACAAATTCTCCCACTACTTCTTTAGGAAACGAACAGGTACCACGAATGGGAATCTGAAGGGATTATACACACTTACTAGTACTGTCATCCAGGTGTGGGGACCGGAAGTCATAATTCTTCACTTCTTGATACCAATTCTTTACAGCCCTGTCGCAGGCCTGTTCGGGGTCTCCTCCGTACATGTAAAACAAGTTTTCTCCTTCTGTTGCTGTGGAGTCATGTTGAAGCTGGTCTATTCCTGCAAGATGATTGGCCCATTTCTGTGCACCGACAGCAATTTCCGATGACCAGTTAAGGGCTGGAACGCCATAGTGTGCGCGAACAGCATTATGGGAATCCAAGCAGTTCTGTATGAAGGAACTGTACGAAGAAACTGAAATGAAGAAATAGAATAATATTTCTACAGTACAACACCCAAAAGGGACAAAAACTCTATACGTAACGACCAGTTCGGTGAGAGTAATAATGTGAAATGCTATTGCACTGTCCCTTTAAACAATACTAGTTTAGAGAAGAATGTCATAAACATTTAGGTTCCTGTCTCCTCTCCGAGATTGGATGCCAATCTAGACAAGACATTTAATACGAACAAGAATACACATGTCATATGAAACTACCTGGCATGTGTTTACTGGTTTAGGAGCGTCATTAGAATACGATCCCGTCATGTCGTTCTCTCAAACTCACGTCGTTCTTTATCGACGGTCACATTCTGCGCTTTCCAATGTTTCTCGTGACTAAACACACCGGAGAAACTGACCGCTGGTGCATCCTACACATCTAGCGTTAAACTGGATCAGAATTAACCTATAATTGCTATAATAGTGGTTCGGCTGTTTTGAAGGTACCCCGTATTGGATGTTTCGTGATGTCAAAGTTAAAGCTTTTTTTCAGCCGTTCTTGAGCCAAGTGGCGAAAGATTTGAAACGTACTTCAAACGAACGAAAAAAGGGTCTTAGAGGTCAAATCCCGTACATTGAGGGATTCTACTCACGACCATTTAAAGGAGTTACTCTATGAATGTAACAACAGGATTGATGTCTTAAATTTTACAGCCCCTCGTTTCATCAGGTGGAGACTGTAATAAATCGTTAGTCACATAAACATAAAAGGGCAGGACATTGAACAGTTACCACGTTACACTGTGTTAAGCTTTTATCCCGTTAACTTATTCACTGTGATTGTGTTTATCGTCCCTGTTACCAAATATTATTGTGTTCATATGAATACACAAATCAACTCAGTGTTGCGGGTACACTAACTTAAACAGGTTACAAGATATTTTTTGGCGGGGTTTAGTTCCCTTTTCCTCAAAAATCAATCTGAACCAAAAACGTCAATTTACAGCAACTCCTACCTTCGCTGACACTGCAGAGTAAAGCACTAATTAGTATTTGTATCTTCATCTTTGATCAATGAAAGAAAGCGCCATTAATGAAGCAAAAAGGGAACCAAGCAATTTATTATTGATAACTTGAACAATAGTCCTGTGTCAATACCTGCTTAGTTTAATTTTGGTCGCTAGGGTGATCCATTGTTAAATGATTTTTAATAAAGATAAGTATCTTCAAGTTCTTATTCGCGTACGAGCTTGAACTTGGTGTGTTGGATTAAGCGAAACACATTGGCCTCTTATAAGGTATCATGATCAAAACAGACAGGTTGTTTTGAAACCCTTGGCATTTTGGGTCAGTTTAATCCGAAGTAAGCTACCTACCATTCCTCTTTGCCACAGCTTAAAAGGTAAATATGGATCACCAATTTTTAATTGCCTTTTAGAACCTGTAGGATGTTCTTTGGATGTTTTAGTGTCTTTATAAGATGTAGATGACAGGCCAAGAAGTTTTTCTCGAAGAAAAGGAGGGTATTTTTCACCGAGTAATTCATTTTTAAGTTTCTGATTCAGACCACTTGCAAGGCTGACCACGCCCTTGGGTGCTAGGGTCTTGCGACTTCACGTTCGGAAGCGTAGTCTGTTTGCGCGCCCTTTTGTTGTTTTTACCTGTGTCAGTATTCACGGGTTAAGCCAACTTCAAAATATCTGTAGTTATTCATGAGCAGCCAAGCAAAGAGCTTTACCCACAAAATTCGCAGTGGAAAACTATCATTTTTTTTAATAGAGTCATTATTCGGTTTTAACAGGTTTCATTTACTAGTATAAATAACATCTCTTCGCAGATCAATAATATCTTTCCGCAATAGGCTGCGTGGCTGGGGCCGGTTAGTTTTAAACTGCAAAGGCCTGTTAACATATTGCCATTCTAGAGGGCCCTGTCCCATAATCCCAACGCTCTCTTGGCGTCTCCTCGCAAATAGACTATTTAACAAAGGCAATTAAATATTGATGATAGTGATGATGATGATGATGATGATGCTGATGCTGATGATGATGATGATGGTGATGACGATGATTATAAACTGGTCTTTCCAAATTTGACGTCTTTCTTGGGAGCAAAGAAGACGCTTTCTTCATGAGCGTTTCAAAGAAAGTTCAGTAGTTACGGCCACCGTGTTGAACGAGGACACCGAAAATCAAAACTTAAACCTGTGTCACGTCGAACCGTCGATTCAGAGAACGGATCCCTGAAAGTCTCCGCTCAAGCGTTGCTTTTTCGTTGTTTCCTTAGTGCTCTACTTTGTCGGTCTTCACCCAGCGGTATTTTAACCGAACCGACGAAATATCACTGGGGGTAACCCCGCAATGGACTACTCCAACCCATCCAGGGGAAGTAGCAAGAATAACCCTAGGGCTCCTTGGTTCTGAACCGGGGTTTTAAAAGCTCTGGTCGTGTGGGTCAGCACCTTGTATTCGCCATTACTTTTCCATTCCGTTGCAAAAGCTAGTCTGTAGTGCGCTAAATTACATTTTGCCTCAGACAACGTTTTTTAAGGCATCGTAACACCCTGCGGTAATTCTGGACAAGTCTATTTTTTTTTTAAGTTTTGCTTTATATCTTGACGCGGTATAGGATTTATAAGGTTAATTTGATACCCAGACCAGTCATGGTCAGTTTTTTCTCCAACAAACTTCTTATGTATTATTAGTTTATATTTTTTTATAATATCAGCTCAGGACAAGAGGCCATGATATTGTCGATTTGCAAGCTTAACAATGATGATTAAGATTAAGGAAAGTAAACAAAAGCAGTCATGTGTGAGGTGTCCATCTCACAATCCTGGCTCTCAAAATAAAAATTTGGGGGTGAAGTGTCGTTTATGTCTGAGGTAACTACTATACTTGAATAAGTAAACTGATATATTTTATCGTCTTTATCCTTAAAAAGAATAAAGATTTGATTTCGTCTAAAAGATAAATTTGGAATTAATAAATAATGCATAACACCAGCGAGAAATTCGTCTCTCTGAAGAATGGATCAACTGATGTAATCCCCTCTTTGCAACCGAAAGTTTCTATAAGCTTTACCCCTCTTGTTCTTTCGAGTAACGCAGATATTTTTCTTTCCAACCCTTCATGGACATGAGGTGGTCAATGAGTTTCCTTGGAATCTTGATGTCATACTGTTTGCATGGTAAGAAATTTTTTGGAGCCATAAATATTTTTGTTGCGTTCCGTACTTTTGTAAACAAAAGCTTTTTTTCTTCAGAGCAATTAGTTGTAAGCCTATAAGTTTTGCGAATTTAGTGAGCCGGTGGAAAATTAATTAAGACCTTCTTTCCTTAATCAACATCTGTTATTTAACAAAATACTTAACAATCAGGTTGTTCTTTTACGCTTCAACGATTGTTATTTAGAAAACTTGTTGTCAATTACGGGTGGGTTATGTTCTGCTTCATAGGTGGTAGGTCGTGCGAGGAAACAAGTTGCCTTATTTGTTATTAAGTCTATACTTTAGGAGATAGGATCATTGGGAATCTACGATATAGATTTGCAAACGCTTGAATCCTCCAATTAGGTCGTATTTATCAGGGCAAGAGGAGAGTTTACGCGTCTTTTCGGTAACAGCGTAATTTCTATGAGAAGCATGAAACCTCATCGTACTAATGCTATCAGAGTGCGTTTGAGAATCTCGTTTTTAAATTGGAATCTCGAAATCCCGCTGGATTCTTCTGTAGCTAATTGACGGTGCACTGAATCAGAGACGCATTCCTTTTTGCAGAAAGGTGTCTGAATCGAGCAAGACAAAATGTTATTTAATCGCCCCATGTAGGGGACCAAAGACAGTCTTGGATTCTGGTTTCCAAGCTAGGGATTCCGGATTCCAGCTACTGGATTTTACCCTTTGTCAGTGGAACTTGGATTCTCGATTCCAAACGTTAGTGAGATTCCGGATTCCTTAAGCTGAATTCCGGGATTTTAAGATCAGATTCCGGATTCGGGTTTCCGTCTCCGGATTCCGAATTTTGGTATGCGGATTCCGGTATCCCAATTCCGTTACATGGGGCGTTGTCTAATCTGGGCGTTGTGTCAATTAAATGAGTTTTCTTGTCTTGGCCTCTAATTTTTTGGTTTTCAACTCTAATTCTTATTACTTCACCACTATGGCTTCTTTAAGACGAGTGCCTGTAAGGAATCTCTGTAAATCATAGATTTCACATCATTTTCCAGGGATCCATGCAGCTCCGAGCCTAGGGTCATTCGAAAGCGCTGAGCCTCCGAGTGCTTTAAAAGTGGTAAGGACAGTATCACAAGAGATCCATTGTCATCCATTAAATACGCCAACAGTCTGTGCTATAGTCACTACTTATTACCTTTACCCTTACATAAAATGCTCCTGTGGAGTTATTAAACAAATTTCACAAGGGAGCACCAACCATAACATTACTTTTGGAGATTTTGAAGGAATAGCATTAACTTTTAAAAAGTTGACCCAACTTTTTCAAGATTCAATCCATGTTTATCCCTGCCATCCGTAGCAACAGACGACAGGAAACTGTTTCAATATCTAAATATAGTCAAGAATATCATCATTTTTGAAATGCAATTGACGAGAGGACGCGTTAGCTTTTTAAACAGGCGATAGAAGGGGAGGGTGCCATAGCTTAGCAAGAAGTGCTACCCTAAAACAGTCAAATTTTTAATTTTTTTTTTAAAAAAAGCAATGGAGCTTTTGTATGCCATACAGTGTTTTTTTTCTTCCATTTCCTGGTTTGGCCAGGAACATTGTGGATAGGGGAAATGAAGGCCGCATATTAAAATGTTGACCTGTTTTGTACCGTGGGGGACTGTACAAGACAGAACATTATTGGTTCTCACAAAAAGACCTGTATACTCAGAAAGCACACTCTGAGGTGAGCAAAATCCCAAAGTTTGGTGTCTGTCGAGATACGGCTATTCGAACTCTCCAAAATTTGATAAAGACAAGTGTCTGGAGATCCATATATTCAACTATTTGAATGGTCGTATCTCGACTAAATTTTACTTGACAAAAGTCCCAAACTATTTTTAAACTGGTTGTCAATTGTTGACTCTTCAATTTTGAAAAAAAAATCATTTTTATCCAACTGACATATAAAATACTAAAACAATTATCTCCGCGTGGTAGGTTCAAAACAGTTGACAATTATTGGGCGAGGTCGAGCAAAATATCGTGATTTGTCAGTGGCGAGCATATCAGTTATTTGTCGAAGCCGAAGACCGAGGCAAATACTTGATCTGCGAGACAGTGACAAATCACGATATTTTGCTATAACGGAGTTCAATAATTGTTTTATCGGTCGGTCACCGAGTTTGTTTTGGAATGAATTTCTTTGGGAAGCGGAAAGCTCGCTGCCTTACAGGAGTAATGACAGAGATCAAATAATTTTATTCTGATTTCAATAATTTATTCTTTCGTCTTTTAAGAACAATTAAGTTTACAGTCTTCTTACAGTCTTTGTCATATCACTATTCCGCGAGCTTGGGTGCACGAGAAAGGGTGGTGTGATTTTGCCGAGCTCTCCTAGTTGAAGTAAGTAGGTTCGCTAAAGCACCCTTCCTTTATGTAAACGGGCCCTTAGGCTATATGGAGTTAAAGTACGGCTTAAGCTCCAAGGAATCTATTGACCAATTGTTTACTTTTATCTTTTGCCCTTAGCATAGCAATATAGTTTGTGAAGGACAGAAAGCTTATATAAAATGCGAAAGCATTTTCGATCAAATCGAAATAATGGGAACGATGTATGGTCGTAAAGATAAATCAACCTGCGTCCACCCGAGCATTCCTTCGGAAAAACAATGTCAGGAACAGGAAACCCAAGTGATTGCTCATGTGAGAGGCCTGTGTGATGGGGAACGCAAATGTGAGGTGGCTGCAAACAACCAGTTCTTAGCGAAGGCTGGAACCACCATTTGCCCTGAGGTGTACAAGTATCTGGACATAAAATACAAGTAAGGTTATAACTGACCACTTTGTCTCTTTTTACCCTGGCCCCCGGCAAGTTGTTTAAAAGGTGGATAGCTCTATCCACAGGATAGATCACTACCCAGTGGATAACACACTTGTTTTCCCTATCTCCTTATTCACTGTACTGGATAGGGATTTATTCAGTGGATAGCGCTATCTATATTTTTGACAACTGGGGCTAGGGCCTAGTTGTTCAAACTATAAACACGATAACGCTATTCACTGGATAAATCTCTGTCCAGTGGACAACGCAATCTGGGGTGGATCCAGGTGCTTAGCAGAGGGGATTCGATGAAAGGGGACCGTCGAAAGCGTCTCCCCTGTAGGGGTCCGATGTCATCCTCCCCCGGAAATTTTTGAAATTTCAAGTCCTCGGAAACGCGATTTGCACCATTCTGAGGCAAAGTCAACGTGTTTTAATATCTCATTTTTTTTAAGTGAAAAAAAGTGAAAATGCCATTCTTTTACATCAAAATATAACAAAGTTGCGTAAAACGATGCAATAAACTGAGCCCAGTTATAGCGGATCAATTGAGGTTTTTGTGTGACTGACCACCTACCCATCCCTTAAGTCTACATTGACACTTACTTCTCACTTAGGGCAAAATTGTGACTTAAGGGAGGGATAGGTGGTCCGTTGTGGCAAAGACATTTTCTAGTCGCCTGGCACTTCATTTTATCGCCGGTTTCAAGTTAATTTCTATCCTATTCCCATAAGCAGGATTTCCTTTTATGGTGTCAAAATGTGAGAAGTAATAAACTGACTTAAGAATTATACAAATTTTACAGGTGCGTGCCTCGAACTTCTTATTCGAACGTAGACGGTGGTTCGGAAAACGGCCAAACAGTGAGTGAAGTCATCACCACAAACGGGGCGGGTCTGTCTTCCTCATCAGTCACATCATCTACCTCCACCTCTACCTACTCTTCGGTCCCTGAAATTACAGTACAAGAGCACGTCAGCACTGAGCCAGTCACTACTGCCACATCACAAGGATCTGTTACACCAATTAATACCCATAAGGACGTCACAGAGGAATTCACTCAATCTGAAGGTACCTCTGACGTCATATCAGAGACGTTTCCAAGCAACGCAGGGACTTCTTCACCGGAGGAGGTTAACGAGACGTATAAAAAGTCAGAAACACCCCTAAGACCGGACGAAGTCGAAGATGGATTGGAAGAAGGAGAGGAAGAGAAGAGCGGCTCAGGGGAATTAGACGGATTTGATGAAGAGCCTGATGATGCTTTGTACAGAAGATGAGGCCATATATGAGAGGCGGTGGAGCCTTGATTCATTAGTTCGTATTTCCACAAACAATAACCTGAACTTTTAACTTCAACAGTACGTGAAACCTGTCTCTTAGTTCCCTGGACTAAGATCGAGTTGGAAGACAAATTGGAACCTTATTCTGTCGGAGTGGTTATATGCTGCCGCCTTGGAGAATGAATTCATTTACTTCTCTTAATTCTCAACTGGCGTTTAATATACCGGTCTACAATTATCATTTTAGCATAGGTGAAGCAAAATCCTGGGATAATGCTTGCGATATTCACTCCTTAACATTTCCCTTTTATGCGCCAGTTACCTGGCGGGGGGGACTGGAGGGGAGGGCTAAGCGTCCTTTAAGGCTAAATGTTTGTTATTTTGTTTCAGTAGTTTTGTTTACATGAAAAGCCAGGAGGGCATCCTATCTGCTTCCTTAGATAAACCGTAGGGTAAACTTTTGCCTTGTAAATGCTCGGGTTAGGGTTACTCTCTTAGGAGGCACAAGCTTAGCGTGATCAGTTTACAATTAGATTTGAACAAAAACTGTAATTTAGCGTGTGCTTGATGAAAATCTATCCTCGTGTAAAAGGGGGCTGACCCTTCCAGGAGGGTTACAACCCAAGTCCGAGTAAAGATGTCTTTGAAGGTTAAACTAAAATCATCATGAAATCAGCTGTTTTGAAACAGAAGCTTGTGAACGTTATTTTAGAGATGACTTCATATATCAGACTAGATTTCAGGAAGCTAGGCATTCATAAGAAACATTGTTTTTCATTAAGGTTTATTTGGCTTCTGTGGAAGTTCTCCAAACGGACACTTTCGTAAGCGGACAGCTCTACTTACGGCCATATTCACAAAATCCCGTTTCTCTTAACTCCCAAACAAAAACTCTGTATTTTTACATTCCCGTTAGCAGCCAGCTCCAGTTACAGACGCCATTTTTCGAGTCCCGAGGGTGTCCGCTTATGAGAGCTTCCATGTATCTTAATTACGGCCAATACAAACTAGTTCACTCAGTCGCAGAGTTGGAACCACGAGCCAAAATAGGCCCTAAGAAAGGTCCGTAAAAAGATCTCGGATAGAGTAGTTTTGGTTCGAATTGTGCTAAAATGGCTCCATGAGAGGACTGGATTAGACTTTGGCCTCCAAGGCTTTTTTGTACCTTTGGGATTGAAACAAAGCGATCAAATTGAATCTTTAGCAGGGGAGCACCATAAAGATAAGATGTGGGATAATTCTTGATTAGCAGGAGGTCCGAAGTCACACCCAATCACAATTTATATTCTAAATTAAAAGCTCGCTTGTGACCCATCAAAGATATTTCAGCGGAATCCTCTTGTATCTTGGTTATCTTCCTCATCCTCGGAGACCCAGGGGCAGTCAGTCGGGCCGGGACAAAAATCCCGACGAAAGTTTTCAAGCACGGGCGGAAGAGCCCCTGGCTACCGACTCTCGCCGGGTCATTTCGAAACGGTCAGGCGAATGCTGGCTCCTGATTGGGCACAAAAAATGCTTTGTATTATTGTGCCCAATCTGCGGACAGCATCTCTTGAGTTCTTTTCTTGCGTTCGTACACGACCGCTATTGTCTTTCCAAAATGGCCTTAGAGTTTACACGAAATCATTAACGCGAAAATCAGCATCTTGCAAAAATAAATTCTTATTCAAAATGGTTGTTTATTGAGTTTGATTATTATATTACCAGATTCTAATCATTTTAATCAGAAGGACCACGACCATATGGAATTTGTTTTAGCTAAGTGTCTTCTGTATAATTTGAGAAACCCTTCTTTACACCTCTTTAGGAGTATTGTCTACAAGTTTCATTTTCACGTGAACAGCAGTAACTGACAATGCATTTGAAATATGTAGAAATGTTAGCTGTCCATTTACTGCCTCACAAGTTATTAAAAGTCTTGAAACTCAAAGGCCGTATTAAACGACGGTAAATCTCAAGAATATCAAATTTAACAAAAAAAATCTATCGAGCGGTTTCAAACTTATTTGCTTATTTGTTTAAGTAGACCAAAAATGTTCAAAAAACCGCGAAGATGAGCGCCTCGATACATACTAATGAAATCCTTCTTTCAAGCAATCGGCTAAAGCTACCTCTATGATCTTTCACACGTTTTTAAAAAGATTGAAACCACTATAAGGTGAAATTGCACTTCAAAAGCGCTTCGTTTTCTACAGATTGCCGAGGATTAAGATTGTCCAGTTTTCACCGTATTTCTAACCATAAAAACTTCATCCCAAAATATCTCGATAACTCTCTTACAGATTTTCGCTTAAACTTCAAGAACATCGAGGCGGCTGTTGAAGGAAAAAGCTCGCGTGAAAGATTTTTGAAGAAGAGTTCCTAGTACCGAGAAATACGACTGCAAGTAAAATAGGCAATGGCGTCATTTCGTTGTCATGACAACTCCGATGTTATTGAAACCCTGATTAAATTTTCATCTTCATCTAATACAGCTGTGGTGGTAATTTTTTCAAATCTTTGTTAATGGCGATGTAGTTTACGCTCAAACTTGGGAGGTATTGACGCTGAATAACCCCATCGAGCCACCTTAACGTGGCACTTTTGTAGGAAGGTAAAAACAGATTAACGAAAGAGGGCTGGGGGCAATTTATAATGACTGGAGCGCACAAAATCTTATACTGATGCAGTGGCGGTTCGATTCACACCTTTCCACTTTCTTGGAATGTTATATGCTACCAAACTTCTTGTACCACTTACATGTTTTTTTTTTCGTTAGTGAAAAGAACAGCTGATGATCATCGAATTTGCGGAGAGCTGACTTCTTCTGTCACTTAGAAAATGTCGTTTTGATATACATTCCAAAGAAGTGGTCTCAGCATTCCGTTAACAAATATTGTAGTTGTAAGTGAATTTGAATCAAAATCGAATTCAAACTGATACACTTATTCTATATTTTTTCTTTATTGTCTGAAAGGATGCTTGGGTTTTCAAAATGGCCGTGCATCGTCATAGCGACGGGTAGGGAAATTACGTCACTTCTATTTTTAAAATTCATACCACATTACAAACTTTCTTGACCCGCAACCACGTTGTTCTCCAAAATGGACGACAGATTCAGTGAATGGTAAAATTATTTTTGATGGCTTTGCGATTCCACTTTATCAAAAAAGCTCGTTTACAAGCGGTTTCTCTCGATTCTTTTTCATTTTTATTTTCAAAAAGAACGTGTTCAAGTGTGAAGAGGATAACGACATATTTTATCATTCCTTGATATATTTTGGTAAGGTTTGTCTCTATATTTGTTTTAGATACATCGGTGGTTCTGTGGAGTGCGCAACTATCACAACTCGCAGTAAGTGGTAATTTGTTCCCTGTTCAAGTTAAGTTGTCAAATTATTAAATAATTTTTAAGATACCCGAACGAAGAGAGTTCGAGTTTCTTATTAGTATGACAAATTAAGTAAATTTACAAGTTATTTGCTTTCGAACATGACCATTTTAAGTTTGATTGACTATTGAATTAAGCCATGAGCACATTGAAATAATTACAAAAGATCAGACATCTGATTTTGCGATGAACAGTCCTTTCAGGAGCTTATTGTAGCTCTAAAAGCTTATCAGAGAGACTTTTTATTTTGACGGCAGTACGTTACGGTGAAGTTCTCCCAACGGGTACCAGGTGTTGGGTTCAACAAGCAATGTTATGGCAATTGAACCTAAACATTCTCTTGAACGGTCGGTAAGGAAATCCCTTCTCGAACTTACCCTAAACTCAAAATAATTCCTATCGTCTAGCAAGTGGAATTACGTAAACAAAACAAACAAACCAAAATACAGTCGAACCTCCACTAACGGCCAAATCTCTACAACGGCCACGTTTTCGGCGGACAGTCCCAATATTGAATCTTGTTTAAGCCTCTCTATAACGGCCAATTTCTTCTGTCCTCAAAGGTGCCCGATGTGGAGATGTTCAACTGTATGCAAGTCTGGGCGAAAAACCGTTTTGAAGGTGTTTTAACACTTTAAAATGCCTTAAAAGGCCTGAATCATGAGTGTTTATTTAATCTCTGTCCATCTCTTAATGGCCGGAATTTATGGTCTAGCTCGTTGTTTGATAACAAAAATCACGTCATATCAGTATTCTACACCAGAATAAAAACTAAAGTATATCGATTTTTTTTGTGAAAGATACGCCCCTAGAGTTCAATCACATTGCCTCTTACATTTAATTGGAAATTACTACACTGACCTTAGGGGGTCTGATGCGTAATTGGGCAATGAAACAAGATTGGCGCGACTGAGTGGAAGAAAAGTCACTCGAAATCAATCAATGGAAATGATTCCGAATCTGGCTGCAAGGAAATTTTCTGCTTGAAGTGGCAAGCAAAGAAAGTATGCCATTTTACCGTTGAAGTAATCCGCTTGAGTCAAAGTATTTTGTTTGTTACAAATCTTTTCAAAAATTCATCAGAGGATCGAAATAATTAAAACTTGCCGGAGATTCGCCGTGGCTTTGAAAACGTTGTCTGGTTGCCTATTTCACGAATAACGTACTTGAACCCTTGAGAAGATAAAGACTATACTCACTCAAAGTGGGCTTAGACTCGAAGAAGATATTATGTACAATGTGAATTGAATTTAGAGCTCCTATACGTTTCACACTTGTTGAAACACTTGTTACATTTCGTCTTGCCCAATGTTCATTCAAATATTTCCCATTTACAAACCACATGAGTTTCAACATTGGGGAAGGAGAGAGGAATTACAGTCAATTTTTCTTTAAGAAGGACATCTTTGGACCGGCAAGTGTCCGTCTCAGAGCGATGTTCGTCTTTTTGAGAGTCAATTAAAGGGAGTAAGTAAATACAGGGACTAACTCTAGGTGTCCGTTTTACATCATGGGTGTCCGTCCCACTAAGGTATCCGTTAAGAGAGAGTCAACTGTATTGACGGGGAATTTTTATAATTCGTTCGAGGAGGTGTACGACCATAGTGGTATTCTTTTCCGTGATATTTTTCCCCGAATTAGATACGCATTTAAATAAAACAAAATTCGACAATTATTGTACAAAACAGTCAGACACTCAACATTCTATCTGTATCAATGAAGTTACCTCTTAATAATACGACATATATATATATTCAATAAACACCCCTGACAGAAACTAATGGTCCTAGATTTTAAGTTTGAGCTGTCTAGAAACTTCATCATTGACAGACTTGTTTGCGTATTCATGTAATTTCCTAGTATAATTTTTCTGCTTTGCTAATGCGTTTCTATGGAGCGTTTTCACATGACGTCACGGCGGCCATCGTGGTGTTCCAAACTAATCCTATGGGAATTGAACTCTTTTCTAATATAAACGCTTTCTTTTGTTCCAATACATTTTTGCATAGATGCTGGCCACGTAAGTGAAAACGCTCTATAAAATACTTTTCATGGAGGGTGCGCTAAATATTTCTGAACGTGCCAGTTTTTTGGTAACTGTTTTCTTCAAATTATGACCCCATGCGATTCTTACTTCATTGAAAATTTGGTATATTTACAAAATTAATTTACTGCAGCTTTTGTAGTTGTTTAGCATGTGGCTGCTGGGATTCATTGTTGCTGTCTTTCTCAATACCGGAGTACATGCCACTTTACTAGGTAGGTCCAATTTTAATATAATAAAAGCGTTAACTACTTTTTCGACACTTACAGTCCTGGTTAAACGTTTTGGAACACTTTGTCTTTCATACATGAAAACTGCAATAGGCAGGAGCCTGTGGGTCATGGGCTCCCTCAATAGGCCATTTCCGAGCCATTTCCAAGTTGCTCCAAGCCTCTGTTTCAAAGCGAGGTTGAGTGCGAGGCCATTGATATGAAAATAATTTCATGCAATTAAAACTCATTTTCACAAGAAAGGTTTTGCACTAAGCCTCGCTCTGAAAGTGAGAATTTTTGGAACTTGGAAATGCCCTATTCAAGTTAATCTCCCTCCCATATGTACCAAGGGGGTGGAGAAGAATAAATTCCAAATAAAAATTCGTGAAAGTGTCCCAAAAGCTTTGGCCAGGATTATAGGTAGCCCTATACTTTCTTAGCAATAGAGCAATTTCAAATGACGTCACCACGGCCATATTGGTGCTCTATAACAATGAAATTGTAGCCATGTTCGTGTACAAATCCTGTGGGAGTTAAACTCTTTTCTTATGTAAAAACGTGCTTTTGTTCTAATAAATTTGATAGATGCTGGTCACATGGATGAAAGCGCTCAAAGTGCAAAGGCTATTTTTCGTATTTTTAAATACAATTTTGTTCACATGCTTAATAATTAATTCGAGGTATTCATTTAAATAACTTCAGTCCTTGTCAAACGTCATTCTTTATATTAATGGTTGCGTTCAGTTGGATAATTTTAATGTGTGTGTTATTTTTAATTTTACTATTATTACTATTATTATTATCATTATGATTTGCTTCGATTGGTTCTGTCCTATTTTGAACTCAACGAAGTTTTTAAAAACTTGTACAGAACGTGTCAAATATATGTCCGCAACGAGAGGGCAAAGCGATCATCACTACCTTGATTTAATTTTACCGAAAATGCTGATAAAAGTAAACGAATGTTAGATTGATATTAGTTTTTCTTTTTACAGGAGTATGCCCAGGAAGCTGCTCTCCCCAATGCTACCCTTCCTGCAACCCGGTCTGTTGTTACAACTCTCAACAATCATCGTTATATCAACAACAACAGCTACAACGGCAACAACAAGAGCAGTTTTATCATCACCCTCCAACTGAGACAGGCCTAGCAGCTGCGGCCCAGTACATTAAATTGCCAAGCGCACCAGCTCCTGCTCCAGCGTTTGCTCTTGCTCCATCGCCCACCCCGGCTCCTCCTAAACCTCCCCCTCCCCCTCCCTGTGCGTCTTATTGTCCGAAAGAATGTTACCCAGATTGCGCGACGTCGTGCTGTGAGCCAAAGCCGCCACCGATGCCATTGTATTTGAAGAGAAAACAGTCAATAGCTGTGGCTTGTGAAGGACACAAACTGAAGATAAAATGCCCAAATAAGTACGACAATTGATTGATTAAAGGAGATTTAGAATCACGTTAACGGCAAGCGGAAAACGTGAGATTCAAGTCGGCAATTTCTCAAATAAGAAAAATTGAGTAGGATGAACCTTACATGAAGCTGCTATTTTTGAGGGTACAAGAAACATTACATGACAAGAGGAGGGGACACCACTACTCACCACTGAATCTTTATCAAGTGATGGACTCCGACGTTTTTTCACGCGATTTATACTGTGAATCATGTGACAAAACGTCCTGGCCGTTCGCGGAAAGCTCATAACCGGTGTCCATGTTCAATGCTAGAGCCCGCTGATAGATTTCGATGGCCTCCTTCCCTCCTTGAATTTAAAACCTCGGCTATATTAAATATATTTAAGATAGGATTAAGTAACTCTTTATTCGCATATATGTGATTCTAAATCTCTCTCATACGTTTAACAAATGGCTGTTGTCATAGGTTGTATTCTCTGTACATATATGCCACAACAATACAATACATCTAAACAGCAACAATACAAAGACAGGAAAGGAAAGCGACACGCAGGGTATTCAAAAGCTAAAATAAGCGATGTTCATTTCCAGTTTCCAGTAGTACATTCAAACTCTCCTTGCAACTCTTAGAAAAACAAAAAGAATTCCGAACTAACTGTTAAAGAGTTAACTTCAATATTTTATCATTATTTTCTAGGTACGATCGCATCGCATTATACAGCACATTTTATGGCAGGGATGAAAACAACACGTGTAAACACAACGTCCTTCCCTACAAAGGACATTGCGTGGCCGAGGAACAGAGAGTCAACAAGAAGTTATATGACCTGTGTCAAGGGGAAAATAAGTGTTTCGTGTCAGCTACTAATGGTTTCCTTGGTACAAAGAATTCGAGTATTTGTCCTGATGTGTATAAATACGCCAGAGTGGTATACCGCTGTATACAACATCCAAAGATTGTTCCGGTAGGTATGCATGTGCAAATGCCCTTAAAAGAACTCTGCTCTTAATTACTCTTGACTAAATGTGTGTATTGGTGCTCAGGAAAGGGGTCAAAATGTGAAACTGTAGGAATTTTTAAGCAATGAGTATATGAAAATCATATCTTTAAATTGCGGAGAAATGATTAAACGTGAAGAAGATCTTAGCAGTTGTACGTTTGCAGAGGTAACGCTGAGGTTAAGGGGTCGAATCCCGTACGAACCTGAATTTTTTTTCTTGCAGCTGCAAAAGTTGCGAAGTGTCCATGATCAAATTAAATAAATCTCAGCGGTTCTTTCTAAAAAAAATACTTGCATGAAATCTATGGGCTATCAGTCAAAGTTTCGGAGAAGCCGCACAGAAAGAACGACCGCCTAGTGTATGGCAAAAAAAATGGTCGTACGATAACTTATTGCAGTGTCGATACCTTTAATTATTTGTAATGCCAATGCAATATACTGTTTGGACCTGGCGAAGGTCAGTGGAAGCAGGGGAAAGAAAAGCAAAGTGCATGGTGTGACTGGAACACTGTAAGAGCAGCAGCCAAAGAAAGAGAAGTCTCGGGAAAGAGAAAATGTCACGGAATTATTTTTAAAAGAGACAAATGATACTGATGATAAGAATGACTGTTTTGATATCCAATATAATGTAGTTGTACGACTATCTAATATACTTATTTTAAGATTTATTGTAGCTCTGCCATTGATTTTCCCGTGTGTAATTATGATAATATTTTGTTCTAATTATCTAACTGAGGGAGCCCATTCCTTATAAGCCCGGTGGCTTCTCTTGGGCTTCCTCGCCATGAGAGTTAAGGTAATTAGATTTTATTTGATTTGTATAATTTTTGGCAAACAAAACAATAAACAATAAACAATTGTAAGCTGTGATAATAATGTCTTCCTTCTGTTTTCAGGTATGTCCTTTACCTTGCCACAAACCATACAAATGTTTCCCCAGATGTGACATCAGCTGCTGCACTCCTCCCCCTCCCCCTCCGCCACCACCCCCTCCTCCCTCGCCATCATGCCCTGGAACATGCCCAGCACAATGCTTTCCAGCATGCTCTCAGGCTTGTTGCAGTCCTCCACCACCCCCTCCCCCAGCGCCAGTATATTACCCACCCCCAGCCCTACCCCCAACTCCAACATGTCCTGGATCCTGTCCAAGTACTTGCGCTCCAACATGTTCTGTGAGGTGTTGTATCAGTAGGAACATTGCTCAGAATGATGTCAGACCTCTTACGTACACCGCTCCTCGCGTGGCACCAGTAGGTGAAAGATACCAGAATTACTACCCAGCCGCACAGTCAAATAATTACTACTACAATCAGTACAGGCAATACGCCCGAGCAAGGCCACAGTATTTGAATCCTTATGCAAGGTATCAAGCATACAGAAAATCATATGCAAACTGGCCGAATTATCCGAACGTCAATCGCTATCTAGGATAACTGAGATTACAGCAACGTGTTCTGTAAATAAAAATTAGTCAAGAGAGCAACTAATTCTAGACGCAGCTGATTGGCAAAGGACAACTTCTTGAATTTGAAATTGAAACTTACTATTGCAACAGAATTCAAAAAGGAAAATTTACTGCCAATAAGTCTTATTCGCTTTAAAAGGCAATTTTTCAAGTTATGTGGTGTTACAGCATAACGGCAGTTTTTTACCGCGAGATTGAAAGGCTGAATTTCAGTTTTTCCTTCTTGAAATGTTTGACGTTTTAACAACTCTGGTGTCAATTAGGACTCATATTTACATTCTGACATAACTTAAGATAAGAATATCACAATCTTTACGCAATATCGCGATCGCGTTCATTGCCTTGGTTTGACTTGAGTTGCTTGCTTATCCACCGGGGTCGGAGCACAGAGCACACTTAACTGTAAGTGTGTGTTTCAAAAATTGATGTTGATTTTCATTTCATTTACCAGGATTTTTTAAAAAATATAATTCATTGTAAATACATTTAATTAAATAAATGTTTGATCTGTACACTTATTGTCCCTGGTGTAGCACTCTGACTATCTACGGTCTTGTAGTAACAGTTTATTGATTATTGTTTGATTGTCTATGAAGAATTCCTCGCACGCATGCAAGCCGTGAAGGAAAAAACAAGAAGGATGAGGTCCCACCGAGATCTGAACTCGGGTCGCGGGATTCACATCCTCAGAGACTCAGGGGCAGTCGGTCGGGTCGACGAAAGTTTTCAAGCACTGGCGGAACAGCCCCTGGGCGCGATCCATTCAACCAAAATTCCAACCGGTCCTGGTCCACTTCAAAAGGTGGACCCGTTTTTTCGAAACTTTTCCGGTTGGACCGAACCGATCCAATGAGTTTTGGACTGAAATTTCCTGAAATTTTGGTTGAGTGGATCCCGCCCCCTGAGTAGCGACTTTAAACAGACCATTTCAAAACGGTTAAGCGAATGCTGGCTCCTGACTGGGCAAAAAATGCTTTGTGTTATTGTGCCAAGTCGACAATTAGCATCTCCCGAGTTCTTTTCGTGTGTTCCTACACGACGGCTATTGTCTCGCATACTTGTCCGGTTCGTTCATCGAGGTTATGCGTGCAATTCGCAAGGGAAACTTTAACTTTCTAATTTCCTAAATAGAAACGAAGGAGCTATCGATGACTCGTGAAAACATTTCGGATGCTATCAGCGGGACCATTCCCATTTGCACCGAGAAAATTCTGTCTCTGACCGATCACAAGGTATCGTAAACAATATCTACGAAGGCCATGATCGACGTAAATTTGAATACATTGTGTAAGCTCAAGCCTGTATTTTTGAAAAAGCGTCTTTAAAATAATCTTACATACGTTTCCATGTTTTATTCTTGGGTAGACAGTATTTTGAAATGGGCGGGGTTTATATCAAACCGAAAGTTTCCTGACTGCGTGCATTCCTTTTTATTCTGATGCAAAAACAAAAAAATAACTCATTCATACAATAAAGGATTTGCACTCATCCTCGTTTTGAAAGCGAGATGTGATGTCCTATTGATCGGGGCATAAAATTAGAACAACACACAAAAATCACAGCATAGTGCAAAAACAAACAGATTTTAGGTCCCACCGAGACTTGAACTCGGATCGCTGGATTCAAAGTCCAGAGTGCTAACCATTACACCATGGGACCATACGCATGCATTAGAAAACCAAAGACATTTACAAACCACAGTGCCTTCCCAACATAACTTCTACGCATTTGGGATATTATGTGCAGGCTCATATTACAATGCTTGATGACTAATCATGGCTTTAAAATGATTGTGATGGTGATGATGGTAGTGGTATTGGTGTTGGTGGTGTGGTGGTGAGTATATTTTTAATTTATATAGCGCTATTTCCTATTTCGCTATTTAAATGATTTCCCAGTGAAGCATTTACCGATTCCTGGTATATACATGTAGACATTCCAGAATTTAAGAGGGAATCGGTTAAAACCTACATGTCCCAGTTGAGATCCAGTTAAGCCGGCGACTGCCAAGCTGTAGGTTTGAAGCTTTTACACTTTTCATAAAGGCAGGGCCTTGAGCTCAAAACCTTTACCTTTTTAACTTGCCATTTTAGGAATGCATGTATTTTCAATGTGAAAAAATGTTAGGTGCCCCTATTAATTTTGACACTGTCCTGCTATGTAGTGAATCAGAGGGAGTCGCTCCTCCCATTTTAAGGTCATTACCGTAACTTTCAAACAAGGAATAGTAGTAGTCAATTTATTCCTCTCTATAGGTTATACAAGTTTATAGAAACAGATAATACATTAATTAAGAAAAAACTAAAGAGCAAAAGGGCAAAACAGTAAAACTAATACATTGCCGTAGAAGATGGAAAAATATGAAACATTTCTAATTAAGTGGATACAACAAAGAAAAGTAAATAAATGAATAAATGTAATGATTTTTTTTTGCTAGAGTTACATTTTGCAGTATACGTTTTGTACGAATAGTACAGTCCTTAAAAGATCCTAAGCTACTTGGCTCCTGCTGACGTCAAAATAAGAGATTTTTGCTCAATGTAGCCTGCGTAGAAAGCGTTTCCGTGTGGTTTCGGAGCAAACAACAAGAAGTGAGAGAGTCAAAATGAGAGAGTCAAATTTGGGCTCTCGCTCCATTTTTCGCGCGGCAAAGACCTAAAACCCCGTTCTTTGTCGTTCCTCGGTCTTTCTTTGCTCCGAAACCACACAGGAACGCTTGCTACGCAGGCAACACCCAATGCTATATAAACTCTCCTCTTCTCTTCCTCTCCGCACATTATACTTGGACAACGGATGATTTTTAACTCACTACCCAGGACTCCACCTTCATCGTCACTTGCATACTACTCACAATTTTTAGGAAAACTTTTTGCCGTTTTTTATATTCATAGAGTTGAAAGGCTGAGGGTTACACCTTATGATTTTCCCCCGGTTCCCAAGTCAGAATTTCTGTCAATTTAGACAGAACATGAGGTTTACAAAATAGCATTAAAAATAGTGGTTTTAAAAGTATCCTAAAAATTGCTGTTTAAAGAAAATTACCAAGCTGAACGTCTTATCGCTACCGACTTCTTTATAGCAGAATTAGATCTGAGATCGGGATCTACCCATCTTTAAAAAGATTTCGTACTAAACATCGATTGAAAACTTGACAAAAATGAGTAACAGGCATAAATTTCTTCTAGTCAACGAGACCTCCTCTTCTCTACATATTATAAAGTGGGGTGTTCCTTACTGCTCTATCTTGGGGGCTTGCCTTTTTCTGTGATGTCTCCAGGGATTTGAGATTGAATTTTTTTTATTTGCTGATGATACTAACATATTTTTTTCTCATAATGGGGTAATCTTGCTTGAAAAGACCTCGGATGAGGAACCTTTGAAACTGACATCTTTGGTGGCAGGTCAATGAGTTATCAATAAATTATTCACAATCCAAATCTATTGTTTTCAATCCCTGGCAGAAATGGTGAAACCTTGATATTAAGCTAGAAATAAGTAATTGTGCCATTGAGCGAGTAAAGGATACCATATTTTTGGGAGTGATCCTTGATGAGAGCCTCACATGGAAACACCATTAAGCAAATGATGCAAGGAAAATTTCTAAATCAATTGGAATAATATATAGGTCAAGCTTTTGTCTTCCTGATACTTCTTTACGTACTCTTTACTATACCTTAGTTTATCTTTATCTTGTAAATTGTGTTTCAGTATGGCATCGACTCATCCCACAAACGTGAAACGTATTCTTATACTTCAGAAAAAATCTAATAATTTCCTGCACCAACAAATATAAGACAGGGTCCAAACGTTTGGTTTCAATTCACCAAATCGCAATATACACAGTGCTGCGACTTTCTCCCTTTTTAACTCTAGATTGAAAGCATTTCTCCTTAGCTGATTCTCCACTTGTAAATATTATTCATTACTTGCTACTGTTCGTCCGTTGAGTGAACAGGAAAGTAAAAAGGGAAGAGCACAAAAATCAATGCGTCGGCCGGGAATCGAACCCGGGTCAACTGCTTGGAAGGCAGCTATGCTCACCACTATACCACCGACGCCTGTGTTGAGTTAGTTGCATTGTAAAACTGATTAAATCGGGACAGTCAGTGATAAAACGACGCGAAAACTCTCAACACAATGGATACAATTGACTTAAGTTAGCCATAGTCTACCCTTTCTGTTTGGTTAAACAAACTGCTGAACTTCACTCAGATCGCTGGATTCAGAGTCCAGAGTGCTAACCATTACACTATGGGACCTTACGCTAACAAGCGAAAATCAATGAAATCTATAGACCACAGTGGCAAACCGTGATATCTTCTACAGAGTTCATCAGATACAACGAAAAGTGTTCTATGCTTAACCTGGAGCAAGGCAGCGTCGTATCACTCAACCCACGGTGAACATACTACAAAAAGGAAAAGAAAGATATGTTTTAACAAGTCTTTGCAAGTCCAACTGATCACTTACAATTTTTGTGCCGTACTGAAATGTAACTTTTGCCTTTTGGTTTTTGTTCTGTGTTTGGCTGGTGTATTACCCTTTGCGATTTAGATAACCCCGGATTCCCCAAGTATAAAGCGGCGGTGGGGGGGGGGGGGAATGCGTATTTTTATATGACAGTGACGGGCTGCTCAGTTTCGACCTGCTTAGGGGTGTAAACTGTATATTCAGTCTCACTTAGGGTTGTGGGGACGAAGAGCTATGTTTTCCCTAACAGGTATTACTTATGGAAGTGTGTAAAGAAAAGGATAAAGACCATTCAACTTCAACACCTTTCTCGCAGTATAGATCTATTTATAGCTATTTGATTGTCCCGAGGATAGACTTGCTCGAAGTCGACCTCTCATAAGTTCTTAAAAGTGAGAGAAGCGAAATTCAATGCACGAGGTCGTGCATCGACCGAGAGAGCGACGAAGTCTCGTGGTCCACTTGCTTCGCCTGAATGGATTTGAATCATATTAGAAA